GCCAGAATTAGACCAACCCAAGTAATTCTAGGCTTAAATCATAATCACTTGTGGCTTCTTTTCCTAGAGACAGGTGAACAAGAAGGTTCAAGGCAGACATTTTTGCTAGCTCCCTGCTTTAAAGGGTCCTATACTTCTCAAAAAATTGCACAACAAAAGAATTCCTTTCCACAAGTGGAAGACTCCTGTTCTAAAGGAAGACCACATGGTAGCTTCCCTGCAAATCAACCCCTTCCTTTAAGTGATACAGCTATGCTCATGTTAGGACATAACACCTACAACACACAGATGGACATGTTCAGGCTTTAAACAAGACTGCATGCTGATTTCCTGCAACCCTAAAGCACCAGTTCTGCTGTATTCCATCTGATGATACATCAGAACACAACAAGGCTTTTGTATGTTGGCCCTGTGATCCTACAGCTTTGGCTGTTCTCACCCAGCAGAACATTGTGTTTGAACCAGGAAAAAGAACAGCAAAACTGGAGGCAAGCAAGCTGGCAGCTGAGGAACGGAGAGTGCATTAGGAGAAAAATTCTGCTACAGAATTTTATCTGTCCACAGGAAAGTCTGTGCCTTTCCTTTGAGGAAAGGGTTTGGTGGATCCTCTGTCTCAGAAAAGCAGCAGTGGCACAGTTCTTTGTCATTTCATCAGTGAATTAAGGGTATTCCCACAGCCTGGATTGTACAGGGAAATAGGGAAGTCGTTACTATGGCTCTCTTCAGATTTTTCAAACAGTTCAGGCAGCAGTACCGACATTAACAGCAACAGCAGCGGAAGCCCCTGCTCTCTTGCTTCCCCCTCCAGATTAAAATCTGTGAGTTATTGCTGGGAACTGCTGCCCTCTGCTGTCACACACAGAGACGAAATTCTCATGTGACAAAACCAGGCTTACAGTTACCTACTGGAAAAATAAAACACAACAAAACACTGTGGTAATAACCACAAGGTCATAATGCATTCAGATTTTTAGAGTGGGTTCACCCAGGGCTCTCTCTTCTGGTCATACACATTTATAAAATGCCTGCCCGTTTCTGCAGTGCATCCACAGAGGCATGTTGCACACTAAACTCAACCTAAAGATGATTTTCCTGCACCCATCATTTTTGTTGCAGCCATTTCAGAGGTAAAAGCCCTCAGCTATTACTGCATTGAGCAAAACGCCTCTTACTGTCTAAAGATCTGTGCAGAGGATTGTGACTATCACCAGGGAAAGTGTCAGCAAATATCCTGCCCCCAACACAGGACTTGGACTGACTGAAGGAATAAAACATTACTGTCATCCATGTGGGCTCTACAATTTTTCTCCTTGTCTCAACCCTCCCAGTGGGCAGAGCCACTGGGAAGCTTTGCCAACCATTTTAAACGCAGTCCAAATGGGAAAGTCAAAGTGAATTTTCAGGAGTATTATGAAATCGAGCAAAGACTGAGGTCTGCAAATCCTGAACTGGTCTGGGTTGGAAGGGACCTTAAAGTTTCAACCCCCTGCCATGGGCAGGGACACCTTCCACTAGACCAGGTTGCTCCATGCTCTGTTCAACCTGGCCTTGAACACTGCCACGGATGGGGCAGCTACAGCTTCTCTGGGCAGCCTGTGCCAGGATACTCTGCAGCCCTCAGGTAGGGATATCTTAAAGGGAAAAGGAAAGGATACACCATACTTCACAGCACATTTCCAGCCTGCCCACAGAAAAGCAGTACCCTGTGCTGAGTCTCCAGTGTCACATCTGCCAACTTACCTGACCTCCTCACCAGCAAAATCAAACATTTTGGTGATTGTCACTTTTCCTGAATCTTTTGGTTTCTCCTGAAGCTTCTTCCCACTCCTCTCTCCTTCAGCCTACAAAATACAGAAAGGAGAAAGCAAAATAATGAATTTGTGAAGCCAAGCTGAATTATCACTCCAAGGGGCCAAGGACTCAACACAGACCTCAGGTCCCACTGCAATTTAGGCTGGCTAGTCAAAGCAAGTCACCCACAGAAAGCAAAAGGAAACAAACACCCCTGCCACCAAAAGGAAGTTCCCCACTTTGGTTCCAGACTCTCACTGGAGCTTAAGGATCAAAACAGACCCAAAATGAGATGTGAAATTATAATTAAATGTAGGAATAAGCAAGAATACACTGCTGTGGTTCAGAAAGCAAGCAAAAGCCTTAAGACTTGGTTCTCCCAAACTAACTGCATGGTTTGCACCCCAATACGTTTATTTTTACTCAATAATATAGCAGAACACAAGGCTGATCTTCACAGACAACCCTGAAGTTAATAAGCTACTTGTCAACAATGTCTATTTGAGAGGAAAATATCTTTATTAAGCAATCTGGCAATAATGCTTCTTAATTTACTCAGTCATAACTACAGCTTTTAACAGCATATATAAACAGCCTCACACCCTACAAATATTCAAAACAACCCCCAAAATTCGTGCTCTAAATCAGCCACGTACCACTGAGATCTTCAAGCAGACAACTGAAGTCCAAATTAAGAATAAAAAGAACACAGGAACTGCATCTTTCCAAAAATTTTTCTGGGCCATGGAGGAACTTTCACAGGCCACTCACATTTTAGGTTTCTGCCTGTAGCTTTGCTCAGGGAATTTTTACTCTCTCCTCCTCTCAAATTCTACCTGCAGTCATCTTATCTCTTTAGCCAGTAACAAGTGAGGTGGAGAAAATCAGAAGGGTTCAGAAGCAAGGACTGAATGGCTACACTTGTTCTGCAACCCTCCAACAGTTAGAGAAATAAGCTTCACACAGTGAGGACTGTACTTGCAAAGTGCCACTGATTCAGGAGTCCAGACTTTTCTTAGAAAAATACTCTTTTTGCCTGATCACTCAAAAAGGGAGAAAAACACGACAGTCTGAAAAGAGGGTGAGTTTTGGTACCTTCTTCCATTCTACCACCTTCAGTGTGAATGGCTTTACAAGGCAAATAAATGCATATGGTTTTATCAAGAACCAAATTCTTTTAAATACCCAATTACACACAGAATTCTTCCTACAGAAAACCTCTGCAGACAGGGAGCAAGAGCACTTTAATGGGGCATGTAAAGGAAACTAGAGAAAGCTCGATTCATTCTTGTTACCAGTGCCCATTCCAACATGCAGCATCTTCTACCTTCCCTCACTGTATGAGGATGAATGGCAAAGCACAGAGATGTCAGCAGGAGTCTCTTCAGTTTCCCCACACACACACACATACAGAGCCCCCCTTTCTTGCTTTATTTGGAGTATGAGGAAAGGCGCAAGCCTCAGGGGAGAGCTGTGCCACCAGCACAGCTCAGCCCAAAGCTCACTATGCCACTCCTACATCACACGAGAATCCAGGACTGAAAAGGGATGCCGGCAGGGCTCTGTTGGCACTCCGAGACGCAGACAAGCAGCTCCAGAAGCAGCACTGCCAGATCATACGCCTCCCCAGCCAGAAGGAAACCAGCAGCTTACAGTTTGCTCACGATGAGGCTCTAGGTTTACTAAGCAGATGGGGCAATGATAAGCCCAGCCTCCTCCAGCTTCAACTGACACCTGGCACCAGGTAGAGCCAACACTGACTGCTCTAAAGCTTTGGCCCTCCTCATCCTCCCTGGGTGAAAGCCCAGGGCTCCGTTACCTGCTCAGCCCGAGTGGAAGTCTCTGGTTTGGGTTTCTGTCCCACATCACTGAGGAAACTGGCCCAAAGAGCATCCTCTTTCTTTTTTATTTCTTCTTCTTTTCTTCTTTCCACCTGCTCTACATTATCCACTTCCTCCTCCTCCTCTTCTTCATTCCTCTGAGTCTTTTCTTCCTCTATCTCATCTGGCTCTAGCAAGAGACCTCCTTTCTTCCTCTTCCTAAGAGCAGATACCAAAAAAAGACATAAACACATCATATACTGAGGTGCCGCAACACTACTGTGGAGCAGAACGCTGAAGCAACACGGCATTGCATATTTACACAACGACAGTCTACCAGGGCAATTCCCCTCATCTTGGGGGTGAGGCTGCTTAATTCAAAGATGATGCTGTTCAGAAACCACCACAGGACTGAAGCAGACTGTCTCCCAACACGCATATGTGTACCTGTAAGGGTATAATGGGGTCAGGGATACTACAGAAACCACAACAGGAGATCCTGAGGTGGACAGGATGCAGCCTCAAGCTAGATACATGGGAGGTTTCTCCCACCAAAAGTACTTTGCACTTAAAAAGTCTTACTGGAAGGAAACTAACGGGCTCCTGCAGGGGGGTTTCAGGACGATCTCATTCAAGCCTGAGGATCTCAGGTGCTGAACCGCAACGAAGAAGGGCGTTTCTCATCCCCCAGCCCCTCACCACAGAGGCCGGCGGAACGAGCACCCGCGAAGGCGGCTCCCGGCACGGCCAAGGCGGACTCTCCCGCCCGGGATACCACGCCCGTGCGGAACCGGCTGTACCTGCTGGCGGGGCGGCGGGGAATCCTCCTGCCGCGGGGCGGCCGTGGGCTGTCCGCCGGTTCCTCCCGCACCAGCTCGCTCACGTCATCCTCGCTGTACTCCGCACCTGTAAGCACAGCGGGTAAGCACCGGGACCGGGACAACCGGGAACAACGGTACCGGGACCGCCCCGCTCACCTGAAGGCACGTAGTCCTCGTCCTCGGCCGAGGAGTAATCCTCCGACCCCGACATGGTTCCGACCCCAACCCAGCCGCCTCACAGCCGCCGCGGCCGCCTCACGCGCGCAACTCCGCTGCCCAGAGCGTCGCCGTCGCTCGCGCGTGCCCCCTAGCGGGCCGACCGACGCCTAGACCTCCAAGGCGGCGCCGGAGCTGAGGGAGCAGCGACGAGAGAGCTAGCGGCAGGCTAGAGCGCCTCTGCAGCCGCGACCGACGGCACCCGAGGGAGGGCGCCCAGAGTTCTTTGCGACATACGGCCGTTCCCATAGCAACGCGAAGGCGGGGATGGCCCCTGGCGGCCCGGAAGCGCCGCGGACGAGAGGTGGTTGGCCAAGGGCCCTGTCTGTCACCGCGCGACGTTTCCCATTGGCTATGATGATCGGAAGGGGTGGGGCGGAAAGTGCGGCTGTGAATGGCGTCTGCGGGCCCGGCCCGGGGATGGAGGGCGGCGAAGCGGGCGGCGGGGGACTTCTGCAGCAGATCCTCAGCCTTCGCCTGGTGCCCCGCGTCGGCAATGGCACCACCACCTACTCCAGCCCTCTCTCTACCTTCCCAGGTACCGTCCCGCGGCGGGGCCTTCTCAGGGCGGGGCTTTCCCGTGGTCCGCTGGCCCCGCGCAGGCCTCACGGCGCTTCTCTCCACAGAGATGTGGTACGGCGTCTTCCTGTGGGCGCTCGTGTCTTCCCTCTCCTTTCACGTTCCGGCAGCTTTGCTAGCGCTCTTCACGCTCCGGCACCACAAGTACGGCAGGTTTATGTCCGTGAGCCTCCTGCTGATGGGCATCGTGGGACCCATTACCGCTGGCATTCTCACAAGTACGGTACATGATCGATAACCGCGACAGGGTGCCTCTGAGGTGATAAGAGGTTGCCTTTGGGAGCGCGTCCAACTGCGGCATTCCCCGGGGTAGAGAGGAGATGGGTGTTTTAGCTGTATGCCCCCCTTGGTCTATGTTAGGTGCTGGAGCATTGCGTCCAGCCCTTAAGTCCTCAGGACAGGAAAGAGATGGACCTGTTGGAGAGGGTCCAGAGAGAGACACAAAAATGATCAGGGGATGGAGCACCTCTCCTGTGGGGAAAGGCTGAGAGAGTTGGGGTTGTGCAGACAGGAGAAGGCTCTGGGGAGACCTGAGTGTGACCTTACAGTTCATAAAAGAGGCCTATAAGAAAGATGGAGAGAGACTTTTTAGTAGAGCCTGTTGTGACAGAATGAGGGGTGATGGTTTTAAACTGAAAGAGGGAGATTCAGGCTGGACACGAGAAAAAAATTTTTTGTAGTAATGGTGGTGAAACACTGGCCCAGGTTGCCCAAGGGGTGGTTGGTGCAACATCCCTGGAGATTTTCAAGGCCAGGCTGGGTGTGGTTCTGGAAAACCTCTAGAAGGTGTTCCTCCTCCCTGCAGGGGTTTTGGACTAGGTGACCAGTGAAGGTCCCCTTTCAACCCAAACTATTCTATGATTCTATGTTTGAAAGAGTTGGACCATACTTCAGGGCTTCCAAACACACCTGCCAGATGCAGAGCCAGGTGGGCTTTCAGGTTTCTGAGCACTCAGAGAAAACCCATGCACAGGTTTGGTGTCTGTGCCAAGAACTGGGTATTCTATGCAGCCGTGGGCTGTGATTAGAGGATCTTGTGACAAAAGTATGTCCAGACCCACCCCAACCTCCACACCTTCTGCAGGACTCAGGAGATCTTCACCACCAATTTACCTGTTCCTACCAGCGCAGGTTGGTTACCAGCTGAGGTTTATCGTGGCGAACCCAGTCCAGCACTTCTGCTAGCCCTCTCCCACAGAGCCCCTGTGTTCTCTGCCCCAGTCTCCCATCGTCCTAGATTCCTCCCTTCATCTCTGTGGTATGGCAGCTTATGTCTACATGTTCATGTTCTGTTTTTTTTTACTCTCTGCAGGTGCTGCCATTGCTGGAGTTTACAGAGCTGCAGGGAAAAAAATGATTCCCTTTGAAGCCCTCATTTTGGGAGTGGGCCAGACATTCTGCGTGGTGGTGGTTTCATTTCTACGCATTTTAGCCACTCTCTAGCTCTTCTTCAGGTACTAGAGCTCTCAGATTAAAGGAAGAGCAAAGGATCAGCTGCCTGTGCCACCTCTGAAACAAATCAGAGGGAACACAACGGGAGGTGTGCCTGGGTGTGTGCTTTCTCTGCTGGATAAAGGTAACCCAAGGGCCTGCTCCTGCTTCCAGCATGGCTGGAAATTAAGCTTAAAAAAATGGTGATTTTTGTTATTTTTTATAACATTAAGTGCCAAGTGAAACTTTATTTCCCTGGAGGATAGGAAGCTAAATGGCTTCTGGAGCAGAAGGCCCATCTACCTTTTACCAGTGATGAATTCTAGCCACAGGATGTAGCTAGGAGGTGACAGTAGCTGTTGTGGGCTAGAACCAGTGCTACAGAGTGAAGTAATGCTCACTTAATGCTTTGACTTCTTGCTGCTTTGTTTGCAGTGAATTCTTCTAATGTGAATTTTTAAATGAGAAAATGAATTTGTTTTCTTCCTGGCTGGAATACTAGCTCTTGCTCATAGCGAATTTGGAAGCAGCAAAAGGAAAAATCATTTTAGACAGATGAAATCACAGATTTGTTGCTGAGAACTGTGACTGTGAATACTGCAGTGGGGGGAATAACTGGTGTAAAAAGGATTGCTATCTTTGTGTATTTTACTACAGTGAAGCCCTCCAGGCACTGTGTACCTTCTGCCTGAGAAGCAGAGCACAGCTGATGGGGCACTACACCCCACTGCCCACACTAGGAATCCCAGGGCGCATGTGTGAGCACTCACTGTTGCTTCTTGGGCTCTGAAGGAGACTCGTGGTTTTAAACGTCTCCATTCTCCTTTTACTTGCTGATCATGTTTACAGTGGTGTGGTGGAATTGGGTGTGTTTGCTGACACGGAAACATAGCTGGCCAGCTTATACAAAACTCAGCACACTGCTTCTTAGGTGACTGCACTGGTTGGTAGCGGGTTGTTGGGATCTGGGGCTTCCTGGGTGCAGAGGCAGCCAGCTCACAGCATGGTGCCGAGTAGGATTCCTGCAAGGCTCCTGGGGGGAGCCGCGGTAATTCCAATGTCCCAGTCCAACCCGTGCCAGCAGGCAGCGTGGTCTCTCAGAATGAATTGATTTAGTTTGATTTAATTGACTTTTAACTAACTCTTAGAGCTGGCCTTTTGCCAGCAGACATACCACATGGCTGGGGCGCTGCAGTAGGTGGCTGGATATTTCCTTGGAGCTTGGGTTTTGGGGTACCTTGGAGAAGGTGAGGTTGAGTGCCAAAGATGAGGGGTTGATGTAGCCAGTCCCATGGCTCTGCTGTGGTCCTTTGGTTATTGCCATTGGCATGGCATGGGCTGCCAAGGGAAGGTGCGATCTGTATCCAGCCTTGCAGAACACATCAGTGTTTTTGCTGAACTCCTTTGGTTTCCAAACCTGCTTGCCTGTTGTACCTGCAACTTATCATAAGACCAGTTATCCTTCATGAGCCATGTGTCCTATCTGCTGAAACAACCCTAAGCAGGGCACTCTGTGTATCATGAAGAAGAATTTCTCTCTATGTACTAATTAATTTCTCAGGAGCAGTCTATTGGCAGCCAATGGCGAGATGTGTTTTTCAGGAGCTACTTACTGAGATTACCCTAAATTTTATCCCATGTTAATTCAGGAAATAAAGCTGTGCATTTTAGGGAAGACTTTAATGTGAATCCTTCTCCTTAGGTGGGTGAGATCCAGGTGGTATAATGAATTCTAAGCCCTGGATCTCCAGAGAGCCCTATGTGCTGGGCTGCATGTGGAGAGCCTGTCTTCTTACTGTGTCATCCACCCGGGGAAGGTGGGGCCTCTCCTTCCCTCTTTGCTTCTGCCCCCAATGAAAAAACAGGACTAGTGATCTCTCTAGATGTCTTTTTCCCCTCCCCATTTCAAATGGCTGCACACACAGCGCATGTCCAGAGTGCCTGGTTTCATTCACATGAGTTATTCTGTGTTTTCCTGGGTGGATTAGACTGGGCAGGGCTGGCCTTACCTTTCAGGTGAAGCTAGAAATTAGTGTCGTGGGCACCTGCTGTGTTCCCCTTTCCCTCACCCCAAAGACTAAGCTGATGGCAACTGTGAAAGCACTTTATCAGTGTGCCATGTGCGATGGCACAAGGCTGGTTCCTCTGGCATAATGGGGCTGAATCACACAGGGTGCAAATCTGGGCTGTTAAGAACAAAAATTCTTTAATAAAATCCCTTGGTGCTGGGTGAACTGAAACCTTCCTGGTTTCTACCCACTGTGATCTCCAAAGTCTGTTTTGGGGAAGAGGAAGGGGTCTGCTTTACTTGAAGAGTTGACAGCTTGGCCACTGTTTGGAAGTTGAGTGGTTGGAGCCAGTAGTGTCTCTCTGTGTCCAGGCGCTGTGAAATTTGCAGGGAATTCTTGCTTAGGAGGTGAACAATCAGCTCCTGACTTGTCTTGACAGGGATTAGCACTGGGGGTGTGTTCTTTGGTGCACAGAGTATCCAGTGCTCCCCTGGCTGCCTTCCCCAGTTCCCTGTCCAGTAAAATCAGATCCAAGCAGCAAGAAGTAGTCTTGAATCGGTTAGTGCTGCCAGCTTCCTCCCCTCTCACTGCATTAGCTTGGTCTTCCCTTTACGTTCCTTTATGCTGAGTGGGGTGAGCAGAGGAATCCCTTCAGTTTTCAGCAGGTGGCAGTAGACTTTGCTCAATCAAACTTGTCCAAAACTTCAGAGTTGTAAACCATCGGTGCTGAGGTGTTCCGGGCAGTGCTGTGAGCCCCTGGCCAGCGTCGCTCGAGGGAACACCGTGCAGAGAAGCTGCCTGCCCTGGAGAAACATCGCTGCTGAGGCTCGTGGCCCTGCTTGCTGTGTGCAGACATGCCCTGTGCTTCTCTGATTCAGCTCACACCCCATTTCCTGTCTCACTAATGACTGCGGCTGTCGCAAACAAATCTTTGTATGATAGGAAACTATATTTTTCTACTGACCCTTCTAATCCTGGTGATGATTATCAGTAAATTCTATAACCATCAAGGTGAACAAAGTCGTGTGTTTCTCCTGCAGTATGACAAGGGGGCCTGGCTTGTGGTGTTGGAAACGAGCCTTGCTAGTGCCTCACTCTGGGCCATCTGCACCCAGAGTGTCCTGGTTCTGGTGGTTAATTTTGTCTCCCTTAAGAGACTGACTCACTCCTGCAGCTAGGCACTGCAGCCTGACATGGCATCTTGCTGCTGCTCTGCTCTCAGGATGTGCTCAGCCTGTTTTGGAAGCAGGAGCTCCCTTCCCTGAGCAGACATGCAGGGTCCCTGCACCCCCTGGACTTGGTGCTGACCCACTCCTGCCCACGCAGGGCAGTTCACACCCTTGGATGGTGGCTTTGCTGGGCTGTGGGTCAATCCCTGTGCACCCCTAAGGCTCTCCAAGGGCAGTGGAAGTCTCACTGTCCCCTTCATGCTCTCAAAATGGGACCCTACACCTCATCTGCATGGCTCTGGCTAAACCCAGGGCTAGAGCAGTGCCTGCACTATTATATATCTATATGCAGCCTACAAAGACTGAGTTTGGCAAAACAAAGCTTTGGAAGAGGATGGCAGCTGTGTGCAACAATTAGTTCCCAAAAGCTGGTAACCAGACGCCTTCACTGCTCCCCTAACCCCAGGCGTGTGTGCTCCGAGATCAGAACTGGCCTGACAAATTCACATCCTGAGTCAGCAGGGATCCAGGAGGCTTTATTGGCAGTAAAAGGTCAGCACATTCTCTTGATTGCCTCGGATGAGGATGACAGGGGGTCTCAGGTCCTGTGAGAGGGTCTCGAGCCAGGCCATGTAGAGGGAGCTGGGGCAGCCCTTCCTGCCGACAGGTGGCGTGCTGCGGCACAGCAAGGGGCCGGTGAGACACAGCCCCCCAAGCCAGGCTCCATCTTTAGCCCCCTCTCCATCCTCCACTAATTTGCAGGTTATTTCCCTAAAAAAGGACACCACCACATCCTCCCCCCCAGTAGGACCAGGGCCAGACCTCTTGGTGCCTTCCCCCTCTCCCCACTGTCCCAGTACAGGTTGCGGTATCAGTCCATGGGGAGTGAACATCTAGGGGGACCCTTTCCATGGGGCAGGAAGCTGTTGATGGTACCTACATGGCTATGAGTGCTGCATCCCGCGAGTAATCCAGCAAAATCTCATTCAGCCTCACTTGTCGAAGAGACTGCAGAGCAATTAGGGTTGGGAAACATAAAAATTGGTTCCAAAAAGCCTAAATTTTGTCTGAGAAGCAGGAGACCCTTTGTGGAAGCTCCCCCACCAGTGCTGCTACCTTCACTCTGTTCTTATCAACCTCCTCGTCAGAAATCTTCCAGGGACAGCCCTGCCTCATTTCGTTCACTATGGCCTCATCCTTGAAGCCATCGTTTAGCCTGAAGGGAGCTATGAGGTCGTCAAACCTCTTGATGCTGCAAGACAAGCAGATGGTGCCAGGGGTCTGGGTGGGTTTGGTGGTGCTGGAGAGATGGGGGAAGGAGGGGAAGGGGGCAGTTACTGCTCTGGCCGGGGTTTCTGGTTGATGTCAGGGAGGATGTGGACATCATGGAAGCCGAGGCGGAACTTGCTCAGCAGAGAGACAATCCTACCGGAGGGAAAAGGGCATGTTTTCCAGGAATCAGTGGGCACAGCAGCCCCGGGACCTGCCCTGCTGCCATCCTTGGTGTGCCCTTCGTTTTTTCCTACTTCACTGATTTTCAGAGAATCAAGGCAGAGCAGCCAGGTCACAGCCTGCAGCTCCTGTTACCACAAAGGCCAAGGAGTTTTCGGGGTAAAGCAGCTCCTGCCACCCACCCATGGGGCAGCAGTGGTAGCTACGAGGGGCTGTGGGGCACTTACACCTTCCTTTCCTCGTCCATCCTGTTGATCTGCCCACCAACAAACACACGGATTTTGCACTTTCCCCACCGCTTCTTACGCCCCATGAGGTAGGGGATGAGCAGCGTGAGACCTGGCCCCAAAACACCCAATGGCAGAGGTGGTGGCAGCAGCCCTGTGGGCTCACCAGCACTATTGACACCAGATGCCTGGAATGCCCTGGCACAGTCAGAAAGGACTGAGCCCTCCTGGGCAGTGGGGGTGCTGGGATCACATTAGGCAGACAGAGAGATGTCAAAGAGCCGCAGCAGCCAAAGGTGAAGGTTACCTCCATCATCGAAGAGCCAGTAAATGTCAATGGTCTTCTTGCCCTGCTTGCTCTGGAAGATGGTGCTCGCCTGCTGCTCATAGGCCAAGGTGGTGGGATCCACTGCCAGGGCAAGAGGGTCCTGGTGTCAGCAAGGAGCACTGCCAGCCACAGATTAAAGGCTCATATCTGCTCCCAACCCACAGCCCTGACTATAAACCTAGCTTCCCAAAATTAATTGTTGGAGGAGCCAGGAATGCTCTGAGTGATGCCGAGCCAGGACCAACCTGTGCTCGGGGCTGCTCTGCCTCTGGTGCAGTTCCTCTCCTCTGCCTTGAGCATGGGGTTAACTGAGGAGGGAGGAGATCACCATGGGCAAGCAGCAACATCCCATGTCCCCAGCCCCTTCAGTCCCAGCCAGGAGTGATGTCCCCCCAGGTCCATGACCTTCATATGGGGACATGGTGCCTGCTGGCATGTCCTACAGCTCCAGCATATCTCTGAGCATCCACAGCTGCCCAAAAGCACTTACTGTGTGCCTGCAGAACTCGGGAAACATTCAGCCCTTCCTTCATCCTCATCAAGCACACACCATACTTGAAATCAAAGGCATCGCTGGAAGGGAGGAGGAGAAGGAGGTTAACAGTGGCCATCTCATGTTGGGTGGCACTGCCAGCATGTGGCCACAGCATCCCTGCACCCAACCGCAGGGCCACCACCAGGTCCTGGCGTCCCCAGGGACGGAGGAGCTGGTGTGGCCGTACTGCAGGATGCCCACGTAGTCTTCCAGGCTCTGTGGGGATGCCGTCCGCCAGTTCCTCTTGTAGCCCAGCACCAGGATGTTGGGTCTCATCTTCCCAAGTCCAGCAGCCTATGGATAGATGTCCTCATGAGAGCCCTCTGCAGGGATAGACGGACACAGGTAGTGTCAGTCTGCAGGGGAGGATGCAAAGGGGGTGCTTGGAGGTCAGGGAGGAGGGTCAGAGCCCCCAGGCTCTACCTGAATGAGCATTTGGACACCACTTCTCAGATTCTCAGCCACCACATCCGTATAGAAAGCCTTGATCTTTCTCTTCATAAGCCACTTGGTGTGGCCATCTGCTATCAGCCGGGAATCTGGCATCTTCTGCTTCTGTGGTGCCTGTAGGGAGCAAGGGCAGGGGCTCAGGCACAGGCAGCCCTTCCTGCTGGTGGTCTTGCCTCCAATGACCTCCAGCTCCTCTCATCCCAAATCACTGGCAAGACCTGGATGTAACCACTGCACACAACGGAGGTTACAATCACAGCAAGAGAACCAGCAAATTTTGGGGGTCAGCAGCCAACACATACAGTGCCAGCTGTCCCATGGCTGCAGATGAATTGGCATTTGCTGCACCTCAATTGCTCTTGAGGCTTCAGGACCACCCTGAGCCAACTGCCTCGTTCTGCTGTGTCTTTGCCTTGTCAATTAATTGGTGAAGGGAAAGCATTAGCCCTCAGAGACCTTCCAGTGCTTCATCAATATTGCTTAACAAGCTGCAAAGAGGCTTCCAGATGAAACATCTCATCCTCAAGTGGCACACAATGAGCACTGTTCAATCCCAGCAGGACACATCTGGATTTCCCAGCCCACTGCCCATGGGTGGCCAGAGCTCCCAGGACAGGGAACCAACCAGCGGGTGACTCACAATGAGCACGTTGCCACAGAGCATCAGGCTGAGGTTCTTGGTGAAGGTTCCCACAAAGTCCACCAGGGCTGGGCGGAAACTGGGAGGGCCAGTGAGCACCAGGCACTGCGGTCTGTGGGCAGGGAGGAAACGGGATGAAGGCTGGTACTATGCAGGTACAGAGCTTCTCTGGAACGAGGCATGTGTCTTCTCCCATGCCTGGCCAGCAGCAACTGCAGGGAGTATCTTTAGGATGAGACAAAATCCAGCTGTGGTTCTCTTTGAGGTCTCTTCATATCAGATGAGAGCAATGTGTCTGCTGGGAACAGGGAAGGCAAGGTTTCCCCTGCTTTTCACCTCTGCCCATTTGGCAGAGATGTGAGACTTTGGAGACAGGCATGTTTTGCTGGGGCTCCCAGTTACTAGGGATGGTGGTGAAGATTTTCAGGTTAGATCTAAGGAAGAACTTCGCTGTGAGGGGGCTGAGGCCCTGGCACAGGTAGCCCAGAGAAGCTGTGGCTGTGCCATCCCTGGCAGTGTTCAAGGCCAGGTTGAATGGGGCTTGGAGCAACTTGGTCTAGTGGAAGGTGTCCCTGCCAGTGGCAGGGGATTGGAACTGGATGATCTTAAGGTCTTTTCCAACCAAAACCATTCTATATTCTATGACGTGGCCATGAGCATGAAGCCATTCTGGGTTTGCCAGCAGTCTGGCTCTGCATCCCCCTGTCTCTGAGACCCCTTGCCTGTAGTTCTTGATGTGCTCATCCACTTCACTCAGCCCCACTGAGTAGTTGAGGGCCATGTTGTATGAGCTGGCTTGCATGGAGGAGCCCCAGTTGACATCTACGTGGAGAAAATGGATTAGTCATAGGGCCAGACACCTGCTGGGGTTTCACTGGCACCAGATTACTACCTGGCTTTTTGTAGAGGACGTATCCCAGGAGGAAGATGACAATGCCAAAGGCAATGAGGGCTGCCCACCAGGTCAGCAGGAACATGATCACCACTGAGATGGCAGCCCCGAAGAGCGCAGCCCACTTGCTGTAATACTGAAAGGAGGGTCGCCAGCCTGCAGCACACACAGAGTGGTGCTGCTGTGACGGGAGCCGCACGGGGCGCTGTGTGCAGCAGCACGGCACAGCATGGCACAGTGTGGCACTGCATGGCATGGCACAGCCCACCTGGGGAGTTGGTGATGGAAGCGTGGAAGCAGCTGAAGTTGATGAGAGCGTAGGAGCAGAGGAAGAAGTTGGAGATGATGGGGGCGATGGCGTTGAGCTCGGCTGCGGGGAGGATGAGGGCAAGATGCTCATGGCAGGGACTGAGGCACCCGGCAGGTGTTGGACACCAGGTGGGCAGCACCTACCGATGAGGATGAAGCCCACAGCAATGACGTAGGTGAGCATGTAGCCGCGGATGGGCTCACTGTTCCTCCCATAACCCTTCCCGAAGAAGCCTATGAGAGGGTAGAGCTGGTCCCTGCAGAGACACTGCAAGAAAGATGCACTGGGGATGGCAGCACCATGGTGGCTCTTGCACCCCCTAGAGCAAGGGCTGAACTGGCCTCATGCCTTACACCAATGGCAGCATCCTCCTCACCCTGGGGCTGCTCATGGCCGCAGAGCACTGAGACGTACCCAAGCGCATCAACCCTACTGCCAGCCCCAGGAGCTGGAGGACACAGAGGCACTCCCTCACCTGAAAGACTTTGGGGGCTGAGACAAGGCAGGCCAGTGCTGAGGAGAGGGTAGCGCCGAAGATCCCTGCTGTGATGAGGGGGCCAAACCCGGACACCATGCTCATGCTCTGCCCAAAAACCAGGCGGTCAGGAAACCTGGCACTCTCAGCACATCAGCTCTGCCCTGGCCCTAAAGGATTTCCAGGCCCCATCCTGCCACCCTCAGTGCTTTTCCATCAACATTATCCCATCAGTGAAGTCCACCCACATCTAAAACCCTAGGAAGACATGCTCCCCAGTATATCCCCATTACATGGGTGAAGCCCATCCCTTGGGGCACAGACCCAGCCAGGAGCATAGAGTGGGGCGGGCAAGCACCTGGTAGTAGTTGCTGAGCCCGTATCGGCAGCTCTGCCGCTGGGTGCAGCCAGTGAAGTTCCACCCGAAAGTGCAGGCCAGCCCCTCGCAGCCCAGTGAGCCCAGCACCACGCTGTCGTTGAGGCTGCCCGAAGCATCCCGGACCACACAGGCACCTGCAGGGACACAGTGCTGCTCAGTGTCTGCTCACCTGGAGGTGTCACATGTCCCCTTGCCTGTGGCATCAGCCAAGTCCCTGCCCTGGGGGTGCCGTGAGCAATGCAGCGTGACCAGCAGGTCGAAGGAGGTGATCCTGCCCCTCTGCTCTGCTCTTGTGAGACCTCACTTGGAGTATTGTGTGCAGTTCTGGTGTCCTCAGCATAAGAAGGACATGGAGTGTCTGGAGCAAGTCCAAAGGAGGCTACAAGGGTGATCATGGCCCATGGGGTCATGGGCAGGGTGGGCAGGAGCACAGCTCATACTGTCAGAAGCTAAGAAAGTTGGGGCTGTTCAGCCTGGAGAAGAGAAGGCTGTGTGGAGAGCTCATAGCAGCCTTCCAGTATCTGAAGGGGGCCTATAGCGATGCTGGGGAGGGACTCTTCATTAGGGACTTTAGCGACAGGACAAGGGGTGATGGGCTTAAACTTAAACAGGGGAAGTTCAGGTTAGATCTCAGGAAGTTCTTCCCTGTGAGGGTGGTGAGGCGCTGGCACAGGCTGCCCAGAGAAGCTGTGGCTGCCCCATCCCTGGCAGTGTTCAAGGCCAGCCTGGACAGAGCTTGGAGCAACCTGGTCTACTGGAAGGTGTCCCTCCCCATGGCAGGGGGGTGGAACTGGGTGAACGTTGAGGTCCCTTCCAACCGAAACCAGTCTGGGAGGGCTTTGTTGCCCTCCCAGGACTGCATGGAGACAGGAATGAGGTCTGGTGCCTGGGGGGTATCAGTGCTGGCATCCATGCTTTGCTCCTGGATCCCACCACCTGCATCCTCCCAGACTTCCCATTTCAGAAAAATGGATCCTACCCAGCTCACCCGAGGACGTGCTGCTTACCAATCGTAGCAGAAAGCACCAGGTAAGACAAGGTGGTCCAGAATATGGCCATCAAGGTGCCCTTAGGGATGGCCACAGCAGGATCCTGCCCAAGGAAGTCACAGAGATGTAAGACAGCTTTCCAGCAGCACTACTAAAATGCTGCCACATGAGGAATTTCAATTCACTGTGACACAAAGCCATGAAGCATCTCCTGGCTGAAATCTTCCACAAAGCTTCCAGAAGAAATAAACTAGGGTCTAAGATGGATGAGAGCTAAAGCCCAGGGAAAAACAGAGCTTCATCCCTGAGAAATGCTAGCTCAGTGAACAAACCCACCTTCAGGTCACCTGAAATGTTGGCCCCAGCCAGGATACCAGTTGCCGATGGGAAGAAAATGGAAAACAAGCTGAAAAAGGAGCCCTCAGGTCCCCGCCAGTTGGGCACAAAGTTCTGGGCAAAGATGTCGGCTGGGGAAGAAGCAGAGGAGAAGCATTTGGGGGCTCTGGACTGCCCACTCCTGGCTAAAGCATCTCAGTGTTGGATGGAGGCACACCGCTGATGGCAGTTAAGCCACAGGAGGAAGACACCAAGCTCTTGATGACATCTCTCAGCGAGGAGCACCTTCCCATAGCAGACTCCTACCCCAGCAGCAGCAAGGAGCTGGGCTCCAGCCATGCACTTGGCCCTCTTGACCCACCTCGGTAGCTGAAGAAACCCTTCGACTGCTTCTCGGCAGTGGCAGGGATCACAGTGCCCACCAGGTAATTTATGAAGGAAACCAAGATGACCAGGAAGAACAATATCTGTGCCTGCCAGAGCAGAAAGAGCCAGCTGAGGGCTGGGGTTTGGGCACTGAGAGGGAGAAGGTGTTTAGAGAAACCCCAGACTCTTTTACAGAGCTATGGGCATCCCCTGCTCCTCGGGTGTCTGGTGGGCAGTGGGGATGGCCCTTCTCAACCCAGGGGAATAATGTGAGTGGCAGAAGTGAGGGTTACCTTGGCCTCCCACTCCATGCCAGCCAGAGAGATGCCCAGCAGCACTGTCACGGTGACCACGCCGATGATGCGGATGTCATTTGTGGGGTCCACAATGAGAGAATTGTGCTCCTGGGGAGGAGGAACCATCCACAGCATGGAAATAACCCTCGCCCTTACTGAACTACCAGCACTGCTGTGACTTTAGCAGCCACCGATTGATTGTCAGTGGTCCAATATTAATTAGTAATGAATGCTGCTTGTGTGCAGAGGTGGGGCCCAGGGGACATGGGCAGCCACTGTCTTACCTGCAGCAGGTCCCGGACGGTTTCAGCGAAGCCCACGGTGTGCATGGCCACAGCCACCGCGTTGGCGAAGGCGAAGATGAGCCCGATGGAGCCACCCAGCTCCGGCCCGAGGCTCCGCGAGATGAGGAAGTAGGTGCCCCCTGAAGCAGTGGAAGCACCCTGTGGTGTTTGCTCCCTCCCCAACATGTTTTTGGGCCCCCCCTGCCCCTCATGGCCCATTCCAGGACACACACACATGGTACCTGACTTCACTTTGCCGTTGGTGGATATGGCGGAGATGGACAAGCCGGTGATAGTGGTCACTGTCACAGACATCAGGATGATTAGCCACGTCAGGGCTGCAGGGAGAGGGTAGAGCTGTGATCCTGTGTTCATTTCCATCCATCCCCTAGCCCCATAGATCCCTCACAGAAGGACCCCCATCCACTGCCTCCCACCATGCTTGATGCTGCTGGTGTTGTCCCCCCCAGTGCTTTAGGTGACAGGGAGCTTGGTGCCACTATTCTGCCCATGCTGTGCCGCAGCACCCACCAATTCCTGCCTGGGCAGTGATCCAGGGCAGGCGCAGGTAGAGGATGACTCCCCATATGTTCAGCATGCAGCGGATCTGGGGGGACAGAGAGGGGACACTGACCATCAGCCCGTGGGTGCTGGGGCTGAACTGGCTCTCCTTGAGGGGCTGCTCCTGTGGGACCAGTTGCACTCACCATCACACCCTTCACCCAGCCAAAGCGGACGGGCTCTGGTACCGGGTCTGTGCCTGGCTCCACCGATGCCTCCTCTGGGCCGGCCTCTGTCAGCCCATTGCTCTGCTGTGGGTCAGACACAGGTGTGCAGAGGTGGCCTGGGTCTGGCTGCAGGGAAAAGGCAGGGCAGGTGAGGGGAGAAAGGCAGCCAGTTTCCCCGGGGTGCAGAGCTGTGGAGACAGCTGGGTTATCCCTCTGCCTTCTCCTAGCGCCTTCCCAGGGATGTGCACATCATTGCGAAGAAGCACGAGATGAAGCACCACAACCACGAAGATGGCACAGGGACCCACGTCATGGCCAGGGAATGCTGAATCCCACCTTACCTTGAGGATGGAGTGCAGGTCCGCCAGGGAGGGCCTGCCCTTCCTGGTGTCTCCCACCCCCTTGCTGTTGGCATAGTGCTCATAGGCGGGCACGACATCCATTGTGTTGTAGCCGAAGGTCCTGGTGCAGAGAGTGCTGCCCGAGAGCTGGGTGGGCTGGGCGCTGTCGCAGCTGGAGCTCTCGGTGGGCACGTACTGACCACGACCACCTTCCTCCGTGCCCAGGAGGGTGCTGATGGTGAAGCGGCCACTGCAGCGGGCCGGGGGCAGCTCTGCAATGGGCAGCTCGGCCATTGCCCCTGCCCAAGGCACTGCCAGGAGAGGGATGGGGCGGAGAGGGGCTCACTGGGGCTTTATACCCAGCAAAACCAGAGCGAGGCAACCAGCACCCACCCACTGCAGCTGCTAATGGGGGAATTGGCTCGAACCACCCCAAGCTGGTCAGGGGAAAAAAAACTAGCTGGAAGGGATATCAACCCTGCTGTAATTGGTATCCCTGCCTCCCGGCACCCGATGGGGCAGCGATAACAGATTTGAGATTAAATCCAAGGACAGAGCAGGAGAGAAATGTGGCGCGGAGTTTGCCTCCGGCCCTGACCCAAGAACATTCAGTTCCCACTGGGATTTATTATGGAAAATGGGCGTAAATCCCATGCACCCTCACCCTTCCCAGGGATACTGCCCCAGACCCCACACATCCCGTAAATCATCTCAGCTGGCCTTGGAGCTGCTGCCTGTGGCACTGGGCTGTGCCAGACATGGGGAGGAAAGCAACCCCTTTATCTCACAAGTGGAACCAGAGGGAAGAGGGGAGTGTGACATTGAGAGGGATGCCCCCACCGGGACTTGGGTGCCAGGCGGGCTGCACAGGCTGGAGGACATGGATCAGTGAGAGCCACCAAGTCCCTCTGTGATTCCCCAGAGCTGGGACCTGGCAGTTGTCAGCCCACAGCCTCTTTTCCTGAGCCCAGGGAGGAGGAACCACTGAGCACCCAGGGTTCAAAACTGCCCCAAACCCCATCCCTGACTTAACAAATCCCTTAAACCCTTCCCCACATCACAGAAAACACGAGCTGAGGCCATGTGAACACAGTGTCCACCCTGCGGCCACCAAGAGGTGAGGCTGGGGAAAGGATGGGATGGGAGTCATACCTCTGCAGCCCACCGTCACATGTGCCTTAAAAGCAGTTACAGATAACATCAGCAGAGACAGCAAATAAGTCAGGCAATAAAATGTGAGGTCAGCCGATTTGAATTTCAGCCTAATGCAGCTTTGCAAGTGAATGGAAAATTCAGCCTGCCCACCCTGCTGCCCCTGGCTGTCTTCTGCACTCATGCACAAACACTAATCTGCTTCCTGAGGACTTGCTTCAGCCCCCCTGGATTGTTTGTGTGTGAGCAGGCACCGTCCACAAGTGCACCAGCCCCACATGGGCCAGCATGGGCCCATTACCCAGGGAGCTGAAGACAGGCAGCCCTGCCTGCAGCATGGCTCAGCCCTCGCAGCACCCCAGCAGCCCAGTGCAATCTAGCACTGCCCTTAGGAACCCCAGCTGTGGAACAGTGAGAAGGGTGAAATGGGGACAAGGAAGAAGCCTCGCTACATCTCCTGCAGGGTGAGGTGGACACCATCTTCCCGAAGAAGGGCACCTGCTTTTGACAAGAGCAAGGGAGCTGGTGGTGAGCCCAGAGCACAGGTGTGATTAGGAATGGCAGAGGGACCTGGGGGAACCTTATCACTTTCTACAACTGCCTGAAAGAATATAGAGCCAGGAGGTCACTCCCAAGGAACAAGATAGGACAAGAGGAAATGGCCTCAAGCTGTGCCAGGGGAGGTTTATATTGGATGTTAGGAAACATTTCTTCACTGAAAGGGTGGTCAGGCATTGGAACAGGCTGCCCAGGGCAGCGGTGGCGTCACCATTCCTGGCAGTGTTCACGCACTGTGTAGACGAGGCCCTTAGTGACATGGTTTAGTGGTGGCCTTGGGAGTGCTGGGGTGACAGTAGGACTTGATCTTAAAGGTCTTTTCCAACCCAGTTAATTCTATGATTCTTCTCACGACAACAGATGCAGCAGCAGACTCATGCCCAGCAGAAATGGCTTTATTTTAGAGCCCTGTATTCCATCAAAAACACTAACTTGCCCAAACCAGCTCCAATCAGCCTCATAAACTGGGGGTGAGTATCTCTGTTAAACACAGCATGGTGAAAGATGCTCCAGCAGAAACAGGAGTTCTCCAGATGCCAGGCGAAGAGTGAAGCAAATGGCATGATGCCACCCTGGTGTAGTGAAATAGCCGGATAGTAGGATGCGCTTGTCGTCGGCCTGATTCACAACACCAGCTGCAGCACCGATACCAGGTCCTGTGGCGCTAGGAGCAGGAGGGAGATGCTCTGTGGCACACACTGCCAGCCCCTCCACTCATGCAGTGAAGAGGTGCCAAGTTGCTTCTGCAGGGCCTTCCCTCGCTTCCAGCTGACCCCCTGGTTCGTTCTAGCTATTAAATGGATCAAATGAACCCACACTGAGTTAGGCAGAGCACAGTACAATGCTTTACATGTGGCTTCTTTCAATGTTTGCCAAAATGCTATGTTCCAACAGGCCTTTAATGAAGCTTTAATTGTCCTGTTTCTATGGAAGAGGGAACCTACCACCCTGGGTGTCACAGGTCATGCAAATGACGCAGGGGCTTGGCACTGCAAACCCACTGCACAGAGCAGCTCCATTTCTTGGCACTGCAGGGAAGAAAGCCTGGGAAGAGGAAATAGATGGTTATTCAGGTAACTGCTTGTCACCTCACCTGATGGGAACAAAGGGATCATCTCCCATCCTATTCCAGGCACCACTTCCATCCTTACAGCTTCAGACCCAGACAGAAAAGGGACAAAAATGCTGGTACAGGGATATGAACAGCAACAGTATTTGAGTGCTGTTCTACCCTAGGGACACAGAACTGGAATTATCAATATGCCCTTCTTCCCCAAGGCTGAAAGGAAAACAGCTTGCTTCCATGAGAGGCTGGAGGTCATTGAGGTTGGGGAGACAAGTGTTGAGAGGGTAACAAGAACAGAAAGATTCATTAATTCATTTTTTTCTGAATACAATTCCTTCAGATCCTGCAAGGAACAAGATCCATGTGCTGCCTTAGACAAATGCAGGTGGGCGAGAGACCAATGGGGAAAAGAGAGGAAACCCCTCATCCAGCAGGTATGCTCCAGCCAGGGGGTCTGGAAAACACAACAAAACAATCGGGATTGACTGAGATGCAGAATCTGCTGCCAGCAGGAAAATCTGAGGCAAGGCCGAGGAGGAGGGACATCTCACACAGGGTGTAGGCAGTAACTGGAAGGTGCAGCCAGCAGAGCCACGTGTACGCCAGGGTAGCAGTGTGGCACCATGGTGAAAATAGTTAGAATTAAAGCTGTGAGATAAGAAGACCCCGAAAAAACACCAAAGAAATCAAGCTGAGAAGACAGGACCCACTGATACCAGCTCTGCAGCACAGTTTAGGAGGGGCCCTCGTGGCATTTTTCAGCAGTTTCCTGCTTCTTAGCAGAAAACCTGTTAATTCTCAAATGAACTGGTTGTCTTCCCTTAGCTCAGCTGAGTTTTTACCAGTAGCCCATGGTTCACTCCTGGGCAGAGCTTTAATTTTTTTTTCTTCCTCACTGGACAGGTAACACAGGGCAGAAGTTTACAGTGAGTATTTCCAGATTCCCCTGCAACTCCCTTGTAAATCCAGACCACACCAACTCAGACCTCATTCAAAGGACATGCAGACCTTAAAGCTTTTGGAGCTGCTACACTGATACTGCAGCTCTTGGGAATGTTTCATGACAGATGAGCCATGGAAAACTGACCTGGAGATGCATGGTGTCTCTGCTGTGTCCACACCAGGACAGAACATCCCATGCTCTCAGAGCAAACAACTTTTCACTTTTTCCTCAGATATTCTCCAGCAACATGAGCACAAGCTGCATCTGACTCAAGCTACCTGTGTCTCATCTACCTGGATGATCTTTACTGCAGAGGATTAGTCCTGGAGTAGGACAAAGCAGATGGAATTATCCTAAATTTCACTTTCAGCATTCATCTGTACTTTTTTCTTGTAAAAAGGGGCAGAGCTCCAATGGCTTACTTGTCAGATTATACCAAGAATAAATTCAGCTCAGATTAATATTCACAGGTTTGCTGCAGGCTGTGCCTGGCAAACTACAAACACCAACCTGCTCAGATGTTGCTGGCCACTATCATGGTTTTGTGATGAATTTAATGACACCCCCAAAACCTCTTCCAATGTTAGCACAGTTGGACTGCAACAGTCCAACGGGTTCACAGATGTCACTTCAGCAGCAGGTCAGAACCCTGAGGGAGCAGAACCAGGTTCTCCTCTCCAGCAGATTAAGTGTGGGGTGGAGAAAAAAATGACATCTGGAAAATCAGTGGGGTGCCTTATTCAGCAAACACCAGTGTGTGTGTCAGCATCTACCTCAATGTGACAAAGCCCTTACAGTTGTGCAGAGGAGAGCCAAAGCCAGGCCTAGACACGGAGCTGGAGCCTGCTGCTCTGAGGAACGTGGGAAGACGATGGACTGGAATGTTTACCACCTGCAGGGACCCAAGAAGAAATCACAGGCCAAACAACAAGAAATTATTTAATTCCCACTGTGGCAGCTTCTGCTGTACCCACAACCTCTCACATCTTATTTGAAACTGGGATAGGTCTTACCTTTACAGGGTTAGTCTCAGGCTTTGATTCCCTGGGGTTTACTTTCTCTATCCATGCATCACAGAATTACTATCTTGGGTTTTGGAAGTGAGAAATGATGCAGTTTCTGCTTAGCTTAGAAGGGAGCACAGGCTGGAGTTACAATCACTGAGCAGAAATGCAGCAAGCAGCATGCAGCCATCAATTTTCTCTTTTACCAGCACCCACGAAGGCTGAGAAGCACCAGGAAGCATCTGCTACAGCCATCCTCAAAGGGCAGACAGAGAAAGGGCAACATGCTCTTTTGTAAAGGTCCCCTGGTTCAAGGTTTGACATCAGAAATGTGCTAGTGAGGCAGCACAATAGCTCCACTGAGCAGGGGATGGGCAAAAGACAGGAGAACAAGGTCCTGCAAATGGCAGTGGCAAAAGCTGAGCCCCAAAGGACCTCTCTGTCCCCGCATGAAGGGTGGAGGGGGAAGAGGGAATTACAGTGAGTAAAGTGGCCTTCACCCTTCCTGACTAAACTCCACAGATGCTGTCCCTTTCCTGCTCAGGTCAGCAGCTGCCTGAGGCCAGGTACAGCCTCACCAGCCTCTCTGTACGTGAGGTGGTTTGATGCCAGATATAAGCTGGGGACAGGGGCTGAGTGCCAGCAAGGAAAACCACCACAGGAGCACCCCATAGGCCCATACCTGGAGCAACCCTGGCCCAATCAAACCCATGTGCAACCATCACAAAAGATGTCTTTCTCCACCACCTACTTCTGGTAACCTGTTCTCTGAAGAATTGCATGACTTGTCAATGGAGACATACCAAGCAGCATCCCCACACCAATATGCCAGAAATGTTAATGGCTAATAAAGCTTTTCCAACTTACCTGTTGACATTTTGTTAGGCAATTCAATTCCCCCGCTTCAAATAACTCTTTGGAACTCACCAAATGCCCTTTACTTTCAGGGTGCTGTCCAGGTCTCTTTCAGCCTTCACCAGAAACAACCTGGATCATATCAGTGGAGGACTCTGTGTCACACAGCCCCCAGCTCTATCAGCTGGGAGCCCCAAAAGAATTTGCTAATGCTGAAGGACATGGCTGTGGGTGGCTTGGGAAGCCACCCCTTTGCTTCCTGTCCAAAAAAGTTGACAAAATCTATGCTACAACATTTCTGGTAGGAAAAAGTAATTAGGAAATTGTCATCAAGTCACTCAAATATCCCTCTATGCTCTTAGACAGACACAGCAAAATGAAGATGAATTCTTTCCCACAATAGCTATTAATATGCAGTGGCTGGATCAGCCTGTGTTTTGTTGTCTGTTCTGTACCCAGAACCACATGTATTCTCACATCCCAGAAAGGCAAGGGGCACAGAGGCAAGACAGCAGTGGCACAAAGGGCACATCTGCAGAGAGAAGTGGGAGAAACAACTAACATTCCGCCCATTTAATTTCAAAGATAGGCATATATATTAGAGCAAAGCTTATACCACAACATGCTCCCTGGGCTTTCACATGGATTTATGGTAGCTCAAAACATTTAAAGTGAATTTTTTTTTAATGCCCCTCACTTCAGTGGGACTCACATTTCCCACTAAACCAACAGTAATATCTACCCATGCCCAGTGCATCCACACTTGGACTTCTCCTTCCTTCTCCTGGTGAACTACACACGGGATCATTTTGAATGCAACTGGTTGAAAACCCACGTCTCAATCACAAAAATCTTTCCTACCCAACTGATCCCAGTTGCTCCTCTAAAATGGAGGACTTTGTGGTTTAAGGTCCAACTTTAACTGTTGGACTTGATCTTAAAGATCTTTTCCAACCCAGCTGATTCTATGATTCTATGAAAAGCTTCAGCTGAGCTCCAGGATACACAGAGCTGTGCACATCCGAGACACTGAACTGGGCATTTAAACTCTGTTAAGCTTAAAGGATCTCTGCAGCACACAGAGCTCATCTGCACCACATGAACACATACACCACACAAGACGACATTATGAACTGACAGCATGTGGTGTATCAGAAACATTTCAACATTTAACACACATTAAAAGAACAAGAAAACCCCTAATTTTTAAGCTGTATGTTCAGTCATCATTAAATCAAAGTTTTCATCTCTACTTCCATTCCTGCTACAAAATTGCTTTCCCCTCCCTGCTGTACATCTAAGACTTCTTAGCCCATTAATAAGCAAGAATAATTTTCTAAATAGAAACCAATTTTAAATGAGTAAAAACATAAAACCACAAAACAAAAAACAAAAAACCAAACGGTGAAAATGAAAATGTCAAAACCAAATAGAAATCAAAGAAATTTATTTCCAGCAACAAAAATACAGAATACAAAACGATACCGGTCCTACTAGTACTAAAGACAGGCACAGGCTGCTGTGACCCTGACCAAAAGCTTCTCTGCTAATTCATAAGGACCTCCATCTGCACCAGTCTTGCGTTTGTATCTCCCGATGTCCTGTAAGGGATCATTCCAGCAAACGTGATCAGTGCGCGGGCTTGAGATCGAAGGTGCTAAAACCCAGAAAAATAGAGTACTGTTACTTTAGCATCAAAAAATCCACAAGGAAACCAGAGGTAGACATGAGTTAAACATTTGCCTTTTCACACAAGCAAACATAACCTTTATTTCTCAGAGCTGCTCTCTGGATAATGTACCTCCACGTTTGGATTTAAAATTACCCAGGAAAGAACATTTTCAACAATGTGGGGTGTTGCTGTACTGCAGCAATCTTGTCATTTCTGTATGAAGTGGGCTTTCCCACGGCAACAGGACTCCTTCCCACCTTGCAAAGTCTAAAGCAAACCCTGCTGAAAGGCAGCACTAACACTCTTAAAGCAGATACCAGAAACAAACCTGTGGTGCCACACATGCCCAGAGGCCTCCAGCATCCCCTACAACACATGAACATCTTTAAAGGCTCTTCATTCCATAGTGTGATGAAAGCAGATGAATTAAGAACACCTGGAGACCTTTGCCTAAAGTAACCAAATCCCTTCTTGAGAAGGCTACACAATAGCGGAAGGAATTCAGGGATAATTTGTCTAGTTTGTTAAAACACAAGTAAATTAAAAGGAAAATCATTTCTGTAACTGGTAGATGTCAGGACAACATAAAAAGCCTGTATCCCTATGGAAAACTACGCAGACTGTTTTGATTGCTCACAGTATTTTCTTCTTAAATGTTAAGCATCTCTAAATTACTGCACTAGAAGATCCTGCTGGTCAAATCTTTCTTTAATCTACTGACTGCAGGGAAAGCTAGAGCAGAGTTAGGTGCTGCAGGCATGCGGACGGTAAATCTGACAGCAGGAGCTTACAAATGGAGAAGTGACCGAAGCCCATTACATGGCTGGGCACAGTTATAAACACCATTCCCGAGGCCCGTCTGGGCAATTCTACCCCTTTTCCAGGGTAATGTTAAACCAGTCAGTTACTCAATAGCAGCAGAGGAGCTTTGGCAGCTGATAGTGGAAATGCTCATCTGCTTGTTTCAAGCACTGTCTAAATGCTACTGCTTCAACTGGGCAAAAGACAGTCAACTTTACACATGGGGCAGGAAATGAAGTTTTCTTTAGCCCTGAGCTCACAGCCATTTAATGCTCCATTTCCATTATCTGTTTGAAGGAAAGCTGTGACTGTCTACAAAGTCCAGTGGCCTGGCGAAATACAGAGCAGAGTTCCCATCTTGCACTGTATTCCTGTGTGGCTGAGGATTTGTGGATGGAGGGATGGATACCTGGAGCTGCAGAGGAGTAATAAGAATGGAAGCCACTCCTCCCTTCCTTAAGCACTGCAGCTGAGGAATGTCAGGAGGCAGCACGTCACATCAGCAGTGCCTCTGGAGTAAGCAGAAAACTTGGGACTGACCCAATTGCCCAAAGCTCCCAGGATGATTTCCCCAGCTGCAAATTACCACCTAGTTAACAAGGTCAAACAGGTAGGTGGGAAAAAAAAGGAATGTCAAGGTGTCTGACTCTTTGGAATTAAAATATTAAGAAGTGAAACCTCTCACTGTGACTATGGCAGGCTTAGGAGCAGCCTCAGTTACTATTCCCTTTACTTTGTGGCAGCAATGATACTAAAGCTAGTCTATTTTTAAAAATCGAAACAACACTTGAGGAAGAACAAACAGAGGTTTGCTGAGGTTAAGAGCAGCCTGGAGGTCTAGATGTTCTATTGGCTGTAATTACTTCATGAATATTAGAGTCACTTGTGATTTAAAATAAAACCACAAATAAAAAAAACAATTCCATTCTCTTCATGACCTAATTTTGCCTCTCAGATAATGCCCTTGGGCTGCTCCAGAGAGTTTGCCACCCCGAATCGGGGTGGGGAGCAGATGACATTGCTGTCAGGCACTCACGGCATCTGTGTCAGGGCTGTTGTTGCAGCCACGGTTTCCAGCACTGCAGTCTGGGCTCGCTGCTATCTCTGCCTGAAATATGGACAAATGAGATACAATATATAAAATATGACAAAATGGATCAGGCCAAGTGGTACAGGACTTTGCTCCCTCATTCCCAAAACTTATTAATGTATATACCTTAAAAAAAAAAAAAAAAAGACTCAACGTATAGCTTAGGCAACTTCATTCTGAAATAAACAAAATGCATCAAACGCCAGCTCTGCCTCCAAACCAGATCATTTCAAAATAAACCCTATTTCATCTCTGAAGTGGGACGGGAGTTATTCTACCAGAGAGCGTTACTGGTTCAGTGGGTTCCAGCAGTACTATTCCTCTCCATCTTGCCCTTGGTGCTGGATCCACACTGCTCCTGCTGAATCTCCTCTAGTCCCTGCCTCTCAGAGCAGGACCCCCACTTCGGGATTTTGTCCACACTAGAGGCAAACTCAAGGACTGTGTTCTTGCTCTGGGGGACTCTGTTCCCCGCTACATGGAATAAGCCACAGACTTACAAAGACCTACTACCTCACATTTTCAAATTCTTCTGATTTCAAATTCTTCTGATGAACAGAGGGATTTGAATCTGTCTGCTTCTATCCAGAAAAAGCCCGGGGATTTCAAAGACCTATTCAAAACCGGGTCATTTTTTTGCTTCCACTGCCTAGTGGGCAATGTGCCAAGATTGTTAAACTTCCGGAAGAACTAAATTTCCCTTAAAATGTGCTTGCCTGTGGAAAAAGGAAAAGTTCCCTGGGTCCCTAGGAAGTTCTAAAGAAAACTTTTTGCCAAGCGCAGCTTGCAGAAGCTTGGATCTACCATCTCTGTTGAGGTGACTGGGGAGATTTTGTTAAAGAAACACCTCTCTCACACTCAAAATGTTCTCATTTTGTCCCACCACTAAAAACCCCTGAGCTGATTCGCAGACAGGGACACAGAAGTGATCCAGATTCCCTGCTCCTGCAGTCCTGGGGGAAATTTTTCAGGGTAAGAAAAAAGGGGAATATGTGCTAAAGCTATTCTTACCCTACCTTCCATGTGCCCATGTCTGGTATTTTTCTCATATGCAAATCTTTAGGCAGCAGGGAGCTTAAGCTGTAGGTTTCTTCTTTCCAATTAACCCTACATTAGCAGATTTATAATCCCTTCTGACATTACAGCCACATCACTATTCTGTTATCACCTCCCTGGCTGCAGACAGCAAGTGCTTGTCCCTCTAATGGTTAAGCACAGCTTTTATTGCATGAAGCAGCCAGAGATCTGTGACTCAGAAACCCTGTGCCTCCAGCACCACTGATACCCTGCTGCCATGAGATCCCACCACAGGGTTAGAAGCTTGATTAACAAAACATGAAGCCTGAAAAAAAACCCCAAGTTTTCAAGGGTTTTTAGCAAGGTACTTCATCAGCTTAACTCCAACAAATCTACAGCATGAAAGTGCAGAACATGTTTATGAAGCACACTCATGCTGAGCATGCTGGTGACGGGCACACTGTTGATATATATGATGTCATGGTGGCTTCCTTTTACACAAATTCCTGCCAGCAACACTGCTGATCCCATTGCCAATCAGTCCAATAATTTTTGGTCCTGACATTCCTACCAAGATGACACCTGACAGCATTCCACCCTTATGGAGACGGTAAATGCTTCTATGTAAGGCACAAGACTGAAATCACCAAAACAAAATAAACAGCTCACTCTGAAAGCAGGGAGCTAAGGCTGTTTGCTCAGCCCCAACCTGGTGAACACAGTTAGCCTGGGACTTCTACTCACAGTTTAAGGTGGGAGAAGTCCAAGCAGCATGCATCCCTCTCCAATTTTGCTGATCTACAGTACCAGCACAGCTGCAGGCAGGATCCTGTAGTTCTCACACAGACTAAAGCTGCCCAAAGACAAAGCTGCATCATCACTCAAGCCTTTCATTTTCTGATGTAATTTACAGATGCTGCTAAGACTTCTACCAATATTGCAATTTACAGATCAAAGGCATTTTTGCAGATGACCAAAGCCTGGCATAAAGCTCGCTGTGGCCCAAGTTGGTTTTCATTCTCAACAGAAGTTGGTATTTATTTCCTGATTTCTATGATGAGATGAGAGGTTTGGCACTGGTGTTCAAGTGCCTGTGGCAGCTTCAACTGAACAAGAGCTGCAAGTCCAAACCTGAGGACAGCTAAGCTGAGAACCATTCTGCTCAACACAGCATGTTGACAGGTCGCTGTCTGCAACTCTGACTGTACCCTTTAAGTGACACCAATTTTAAGCCTTGCTGAAGGCATAGGTTCCCATCAGTGGGTGGGGGAGATGCTTCAGCACCAACTCTAGCACTAGTGACATCAAACTCACCATTGTCAGCCACTTAAACCAGCAGCTGGACCACACACCATTGTACCAGGAAGCTGCAGAGGCAGCAGAACAACACAGGCAAACTGCTACAGCCATTCCCCAAGTGATTGTACTTGAGCATCTGCGTGTACTGCCTGAGGACATGCTGAAAATACCAGCCCACATCACTACAGAAGCAAGCCAAGAAGAGTAATCAAAGAAGCCTTTCCACCACAAATCAGTTATGCACGAACAAGGGACTAACTCAAGTGAAAGAAGTGGAAACTACCTTCTGGAAAAAAAGCAGCTCAGTTCTCAAGGCAGCAACACTGACCATCATAGAGACACTGCACTCTTCACATCAGTTAACCATTTAAGATCCCACCAAGAAGCAAACTGAACACTTGTTTTCTCTTGCTAGGAGATGGATATACAGTACAATGTATCTTATTTAGCTCACTGCCGTTTAAAGCAATATTCTTTCTTTACACAAAGTTAGTTTTGAGACTACTCTTTTGCAAGTAACCAAGCAGGCTGAGTAGGCAAAGACTAAGTAACTGGGAAAGTCAAAATTCAAGACCATTAGAGAGTCACATTTATTTGAAGTCAAATCCCTTGAAATCAGGGAAAAAAGGAAGTAGGAAAAATTGTTAAGACAATGAGGATTACAATCTTACCGAATCTCTGTCTTCCATTACCCGTTGGGGTCTGGTAGGAGTGGCTGGACTTGTGCCTTTCATCCTCTTATACTGGGTGAATAAAATATTCATAGTTGCAAGCAGGACCTCAGATAAGTTGTGTCTGATCTACACAAGGAAGCAGAAAAATAGACACATTGCAATGAAGAGCAGGTTGACAGAATCATTACCTCTGCTATACATCAGAAAACCAAGCATTAACTATGGTTGACGTTTACTTATAGAACATCCATACATTTAATAGTTACCCCTGCTGTGACTGCATCACCTAGTAAAAAAAGTTATGCAGAGTTTTGAGACATCTGCTAATACCCAGATACACAATTTCCTCGAATTTGGGGGGAAGGAAACAGACCCTACAAATGCTTGGTGACCATTAAGAGCACAGAAAACTAACTCAGCAGCACAGTTGAAAGTTTTCAATATGCCAAATTCTTGAATCAAACTCAGCAAGTTTAGAGAGATTTAGATTTGCAGATGTGTTCTCCCAAATGGAGACAGGATTTCTGCGTTGGGAATTCTACTGAAAGTTGAAAGCCAACTTGTATGAACACAAAATAATTCTATCCTGTGTCCCTGCTAAAGCATAAGAATAATGAGATGACAAGGCTGACAAGGTTTTAAGATTCTTTTAACAAAGCAAAAGGCTTTTGGAAGCTAAAACCATGAGACATTACTTACTTCATCACTGAAATTCCGGAAGGCAGCAACTCTCTCCTCTACACAATCTTGGCTAAGAGGTACAAGCTTTAGGCGTTCAATAATCTTCAAAAAGAAATGCAGGAATCAGAGGAAATAATCAATGTTCTATGTACCATACATTAATAAAGTATGGTTTTGAAGTGTTAATGAAATGTTTATGATTACATTTAAGAGAAATAATTTAATTGTTGTTTACTATCTCCTCACTTTGCTGAGCAGCAGGAATATTTTGTTCAGTATCTACAAATCAGCTTCAGAAAGATCTTTCTGATTGTCAAGCAACTGGAGAGAAACACATTTTTTAGATTCCTATAGCACTGCATCACTTTCTAACTCATTAAATACAGTTTTTTTTTCTTTTAAGTGATTTTATTTGAGACATTCTGGGCTTTCAAGGGCATTAGGAAGGCTGCACTTCAAACAGAAATCTTGAAACTTACATCAAAGGCCCTGTCAACATGACCAGCGTGATATTCATCAAAAAATGTGATTAAGTCTAGCAGAAGGTAGAACGTGGAGTCAACGGATTTCTTTGCACTTATCCCCTGAGCTTTGTACCTGAAAGAAATTGGTTTACAATTTTACTGTTCGAAATGGCAACATTTATAAATGTGCTTGTGCAATTCCTGGAAGCAGAGACATACAGCACAAGGACAGAAGGCATCTAATAAAGGACAGCCTTAAAGTTCCTTAACCAGGAGGCAGAATTTTCACAGGCTGTGACTTTTTAAAAATACTTTTATTCAATTCAGTTTTCCACCTAATCTGACTTTTGCTTCCTTTTAAATGTTTACACTTCCCCTATTCATGAGGAAAACAGTGACAGGAATCACAGACCTGCAAAGTAAGCACTGTACAAGCATATTTAACATATTTACATAGTTTATAGTAGACAATAGTAGAACTATCTGCTTCAGGCAGGAAGTTAAGACTTAAAACTAGATTAGACGCTTCTGCCTGCTCTCTCGAGCTGCACTTGCTAGGCAATGAAATGGAGGGCTGTCTGCTCTTACTCCTCATAGCACAAAGTCAGCAAGAAGCTCCTTTCTCAAGGTAATAGCAAGAGTGGTCAAGTACACAGAGGAGGAAGAAAAAGAGTTTCTTGGCCTTTTCTGTTGGGTGTCTCCCCTGCTCCAAAATCATCACAGAAGGAAAGCTGCACTGCTACAGTGCTGTCTGTCAGTACAGAGCCCTGTATTGCATTTAATTGGCAAGAACATGAGCTAATCGGAATCATTTCAGCTTTACAATCATGAAGGTTTGCAGCTGTAAAGTGGCATTATTGAACAGTCATATTCAGCTCTCTCATCCAGATCAAAGCAAGTAGCAAAACAAAGCCCATTACAGCCTTTGCTGATGCTTAACCTCAAGCCACAGGTTTAATGTCTGCTACCAAATGAGGCTCTCACTAAGTCCATATGGCACCACTTTTCACTCAGTCAGCAGCCTGACTAAATGAACCAAGGGCTGAGTGAAGAAGTGACTGACAAATGCCACTTGTCAAAAGAATGACAAATGCCTTTGACAGAAATCGATACATTTCTGTATTTGCTTTCCTAATTTCCAAGGGCCAACAAGCATGCTTGGTTTATTTTATTCTCTCACACCACAGTGGTTGAGGAGAAACTGTAAGACACTTCTCACAGGTATCCACATTTTGCTCTAGTAAAATATAGGAATTATCCATGGCAGTCACTGCACCAAAAGATGATGATTTTAAAAATCCCAAAGATATTTCACAATTACATCCTTTCAGAAGCAGGTTATTCTTAGGCTTCTAGCTGCTAATGAATCTTCAGCACTGATGTTTCTCAAACACATATCATAATTAGCACAGGGACACTGCAGGAAACATTCCTTTTGGTCACTTCTCTCTCTTTTCTAAACACCACATAGCACTTTCCTGAAGTGCTATGAAGGGTTGTGGAAATGAGGCCCACGGTTACATTAGCCATACACTCACCTCAGCTTAAACGTTCCTTTTATCTTTCATTAAAGCAGCATTTCAGCTACTGAACTCACCACTCTGCTGTTACAACTCAGAATATTATAGCTCTTTCTTAATACTATTTCAAACAAGTGAACTGTATGCCATGATTCTGCAACTGTTACAGTATTTTACTTTAAAAATAATCTAAACCATACAATTCACTGTATTTATTGCTCCTTAATAGACTATGTTTCCAGCTGGCAATCCTGCAATTCTCTTTTCCTGATTCACCTACAGGTAAAGCTTCTTGCCACATTTACCTGCCCTTCCCCTGAAGATTATGTTTCTGGTTTCAATACTACAAGCTGTAATGAGCAGGACAGGATAAATTCCGACCTCTTTTCTTGTCTTCCTGAATACATAGCTGTGGCTGCCACTGTCCTGGCAGCAGAAAAAGTCAGGAACTAATACCCCCACCTTCTCTTACCTCTCAGCAATTGAATGGGCCATGTTCTTCAACCGCTCCTTGTTTGATTGGGGGGTGCTGATCTGGGGAATGACGGGACTGAGGAGCTTGTTCATCAATTCTAGAACTTTGTCAGGGTTCTGTTGGTATCAAAGTTACACACAGATAAAAGGAGTACAATGGGACTTAGTGTTTTAATCTCACTGAAGAAGCAGAAAGGTCTCATGCAGCAGTGCCTAGTGCAAGCTCAGAGATGCCCCCCTCCCATAAAGGGGCAAGATCATATTAGCTGTGAGCAACATAATTGTGCAGGCCCACGTGGAAAAGTATTTTCCCCTAATTTTTCTCTAAAACAGTGGCTATGGTTCCATCCATTTTAATTTCAAATATATTTTAAAAGGAAACATGAGTACTCAATATAAAGTCCAACTATTTTAGATTTCAATTCAACATCTATGAAATTGGAAGAGCACACTCCAGATAAACAACTTCACTAGCCAGGATAAAATCATGCCTGAGGTAAACTCTTCAAAAAGCCACACTGATCAAGAACCAGGATGTCTTAAATCAGAATGGGTTGGAGAGCAAGCCATCTGGGTTTACTTATCAAAACCCTGATCCATTTAGCCAATGGCTCTGCTTTAACAGCAGCAGAAATAATCTGCTTGAATTATAGAATCCTAGAATGGTTTGGGTTGAAAGGGACTTCAAAGCTCATCCAGATCCAACTCCCTGCAATGGGCAGGGACACCTTCCACTAGACCAGGTTGCTCCAAGCCCCATCCAAGCTGGAACACTGCCAGAGAAGGGATAAAGGCAATTCAATCTTAGAGATTAAATTTAACCTCCTAATCACAGGGAGAATGTTTGGAAAAAAAAAAGAGGTGAACCAGGTAGATATTTAGGGTAGCACACAAGATATTTACCTTTGCAAGGTCATACAGTTTTGCAGCTTCTTCAAACAATCCTTTATTTTCTGCTGCAGAAGCAACTTTATTGATAATGGGTTTTGTGTCACTTGTAAACTTGTCTATCACTCCAGGCTAAAGACGCGAGACAAAAAGAAGAGAAATCAGAATGTCTAAAACCTCCTAAATACTCTGTCATGGCAATGAATATTTTACATGTTGGATTATGATTAGAATGACTTTTACATTTCCATGGGAACATGCAAAAGGGACACGTTAAAAATAGAAAGAGCTCTAGTGAGAGAGACTTCCTCCAAAACAGAGTCAGCACTGAGACATCTGCAGATTTTCATTCATTCAAAATGACCCAGATAACAGGTTAAATTCTAAATTACTTTAATTGCTGATGACACATTACAGAGGCGAAGAAAACACAAAAGACTTCAGAATATAATGTGCCAGGGTCTCCAGGGATGCTGTTTGTGTATACTGGCAAGACACGTTGTAAGTGAAATCTTACATGGACAAATGAAAGGGTTTCAAGAATTTTAAAAGAAATAATAAACACAAGTAGAATGAAAAGAGGGAAAGAGTCAAGGATATCTGGGAAGGATTTTACTGTAGTTGAGGATGTAAAAATAAGACTAGAAGAATTTATTTTCTTAACTAAGATTGCTGTTTTCATACTACAGGAACACAAAAATACAGTTACATTAAAAGGGAAATGAGTAAAATAAAGAAAACTGGATTCAGCACTAACGATCTAATCTAAAAACTATCTTACAAAAACTGTAAAATGAAAAGATATTTGTAAAGATGACTGAGTTACCATGCTCTCGTGTGTGCAATCTCACTGCATTTAAGCTGACAGAACAAAAACATCTTAAAGAAAGTCCTGTCAAAAACAGCTTGCGTGTGTGTCGCCATTTATTTTTTTTCCTGACAGTCATAATGTTTGCAGTATGAACCCCAATCTTAAAATTAAGATTTAAACAATTTTGTAGTGTGCCTTACACAGAAAGCTTCCAAAATTGCCACAGCAAACTAGAAACCTTTACTGATTATCTAAAATTGTAATCATTCGCATGCACTCTCTTCACATGAAATCTTAAAACTTCCTTTTCTTCTGATCATGTAAACTTGCATTTTACTTTTAGATTACTGCTTTTAAAGCAGATGCAAAATCCATCACAACTAAAACCAGCTGCTCTTTGATCTAATATTCACCCTCATCTCTACAGAGAGGACAGATCAGTTGTGGCTACGTCTGAGGTCTTTTAGCGCTTGCTCCCTTCCCTAAAAGAATTTGTAACGGGCTGTAATACATTTCTCCTCTGAAGTGAATGAGGATAATGTCATATAGATAGTTTTTACACACACACCTCAGTTAACAGAATAATCTCCCACCCACTTACAAGCAATCAATTTTTGGTAACTGCTTTTTACTAATGTGTGCTGAATTCCATTTCATACTATAAAAATGAAATTCAGACCTCGCTGAAGTTACCTGATGCCACCTGTTTCTTTAGTTACACTGGCTGTCTGTAGGGACACTCTTTGCCCTGCAGTTCCTGACCTGAAATTCAGTCTTATTCTGTAGATCTGTACTATTCTGTAAAAGGATCTCATACTTTGAGGACTTGTACATATTCAAACACAGTGATATTTTAGCTAGCGAAAAATAAAGAAAAGCAAGATAGTCTCATGACTAGCTTGGAAATCACAGTTTCTACTTTATATGTAAAATATAAATTGTCAACTCACCTTTCTACTCCCATCGTTTTCCAACTTTCCAAGAATCATATCAAACTATGTCCACACAGATGTAAAGTAAGAAAAAAAAGAACAAAAACAGAGGGATGAACTGCACATATTTCACAACCTATTTACTAAGTACAAAGATGCAGTCATGGATGAATAAAAACCAGTGATGGATGTCAACATTATCTGTATATTAACAACAGGAGAAACTTACTAAGTATCTTGATCACATGGTCATTGTGAGATTTCCCATCACCTACACCCGCATCACGCAGAAAGTGTAAAAACCATTTCAGGCTATCCTGCCTGCTAAAGATGTCAATGAAGAAACAAATGCCAGTTTAAATGAGGAAGGCAAAACATGGCCAAACATACCTCTCTGCTTTCAATTACTATTTCACTAACGCAACGCAAGAACATGTTCTCTCCTTGGCTGTCCTTCTCATTCCTACAAAAGAAAGGGAAGGAGGAAGGAACTTCTGTTTCAGAGGACTTCTTAGGTACTGCTTAATCATTCTTAATAGCTAGGAGAAAATCTAGAGACACATATTAGCCCCTACCTGAGAAAGTAAAAATACTGCAGGGCTTCCCTTGGATCTGTTGATTCAAACTTACGGGTGTAAAGCATCAAGAGCCGCACAAAATTCAGACGCCTTACACCAGGAGGGTCACCAGCTTCGTGGCTTACTGCAATGTCAGAAACAACACCATTAAAGAAGCTAGTGCCAGGAAATGTTTCTCTGATCTTCACCTGAAATAAGGCAGAGCCATGATCCAGAGTTCTAATGCAACTAAAACCATTAACTTTTAGGAGATTGTGCTGATAAACACTGCTTGTTTGATCAATTATACAGACCTGCAGTGTCTACAGGGTACTCTCAAGGGCACAGAAAATACTCCTTTATTGTCAAGTCAATGTGCAGGACTTACACAGCTGTGCACTCTGCCCAGAAGATTTCAGGAGCAATTTTAACTCAAACATGACCAAAGCAACATGAACAGCATGACAACGCAAGCGCTCCATCCGGAAGAGAAAAGCAATTGCAGCTTCAAACTGTGCTGTCAAGAACAATACTTGGAAGTAGAGGAAAGGCTGCTGGTTCACTGCAAAATGTGATTCACCTGAAAAAAAAAAACACAAAACACACACAGAGCCTTAAGTCAAAATGATTTTGCAATCACAGATCATTGACAGAGTTGTTTCCTGTCACAGTACATCATTATTGTTTATTTAGTGCCAACTGAAATAAACACCCTAGACAAAAGTGAATACCTAATCACACACTGGTGCCTTACCTATAGCTGTTTCATTGAAAATAGATTGCAAAAGACCACAGCATAAAGACATATTCAGGAAGTGAAAGAGATAAGAAAAGCTGCTTTGCTCTTTAAGACAATGAACATCAACTTCGATAGATGCAATAAACTGTTTAAAGACCACAGCTTTTTGCCTTCATTTATACTTATGCCAAGAGGTACAGAAAAGGTTACACCCCTGGATTTTCCTATTCAGCAACACCAATGGTAGCTTATTTTATTTCTTTTCCACACTTTTTTATCTGGGTGAGCAACACTCCAAAGTAGAAGGTGTGGAGAATCAAATTCTGTACGTTTTGGATAGTTCAAGTGAGCTCATTTTGATTGGTTGGAAGACGATTAAGGGAAAAGACAGTCTGTTGGGCTGTGGACACTTTCTGAAGTGGAAGGAACTGTGATTTGGGGCCCCAGAAAATTACTTGAATGTAAGGGAAACAATGAACAAGACGCACACGGAAAAAGCATTGGAAACACATGCCTACATTAGGTAATGATTGCTTTCCTGTTCTGTATTTCAGAAGTTGGAAGTTTTCTTAGAAGACCTTAGCATATTTATGGTGAGAAAAAAGGCAATCTATAATTTAGTACAAATGAAGTACAAATAGCAGCAGTGCTGTTCACAGATGAATATTCACTCTCTGGATTGCTGGGGACAGGACTCATTCATCGTGTCCTCCTGAAGTCTGCCATTGCTCTAGGGAAGCAAGAATTTGGAAAGAGCCCTAAGCGGAAAAGCAGAGCCCCAAGCAACACACCTCTGTGGTTTCTTACCATAGTCTTCTAGAAGCTGCTTCTGGAACTGTGATAATGTTAGTCGGTCTTGTGGAGAACTTGCACCATCATCATCAAAACACACCTGGTTCAGCTAAAAAAGTCAACCAAAAAAATAAGCACAGATCTTTCAACTTCATCTTGCACAAGGTATGCACTCAGAATATATTTGTTCCATCAGCAGCCCCTCCTAAGATTGGACCAACTGAGTAGAAACTACTTCTAGTCACAACATCAGGTGGATCCATTGCTGGAAAGTAAAGATCTCTAACATAGCAACAGCAGAAATCTATGCAGATATAACCCAGAGGGTCCTTCTCTATCTGTCCATGCCATCAAACTCTGATGCTGGGACTCTGAATATGCAAGCAGTAATTAAAAGCATTACTTTTTTTTTTACCCAGTCTTAACAAATACCTCATTCTACTCGCTCTTTCAGATAAAGGGGAGAAATGGGTACTGACCGGTACCTCTCATGCTCCCACCAAAACTATAAGGACTTTGTACTGCAGTAAATATTGACAGCGTCTACTTCCAATGGACCCCAACATTTCAGCTATAATCCAACCAGAAAGGAAAATTCAAAAGGATCCTCACTGCATCAAGCTAACACTATTTGTAAAAACAGCTGACAAAGATCAGTGTCAAATGTAGAACATGACACTTCCAAAAAGACAAGTGTCCCCAAATTAACACCTGAGAGCACAGAGGGTAATAGAGCAACCCTGAGAATCAGGTTCCCAGCCCTTCACCACCCCAAGGTCAAGTTGGATGCCTTACACTGATGCAGAACACCCCATCTAGAAGGAGGTAGGTCAGCAGAGCATTGTAGAAATGCAATACCATTTACACCTGCTCTTAAAGAATCACAGAATGGTTCGGGTTGGAAGGGGACTTAAAGATTATCTAGTTCCAACCCCCTGCCATGGGTAGGGAAACCTCCCACTAGACCAAGTTGCTCAAAGCCCCGTTCATCCTGGCTTTGAACACTGCCAGGGATGGGGCAGCCAGAGCCTCTGTGGGCACCCTATTCCAATGTCTGACTGCCCTCACAGCGAAGAACAGGAGGAAAACACCTTCCCATTAAATGCCATTTATTCTCAGACAGATAGATCTCTCTTTCCTTGAGGATGCAAACCCCAAAAACCAACAAACAGCAATACAACCCCACCACCACACTTACTTTTAGCCAAAGATAATCTTCTGTTTTATCAGCAACTTCACTCTGGTTATCTGTAATGTCACAACGGCCAATAATACAGTAAACAGCCCTTTTGTAGGGGTCCGTGTTATTTCTCAGAGCTCGTCTGTAGTGAAGACGCAGCTTATTTTCTGTGGCAGGAGACAGTCTAAGGGGAAAAAGAGTCAAAAAAACCCAACACATGGATAGAAAAGACATGAAACCCATCTTTCCCTGTATGAGGAAAACTGGACACAAACCAATGTAAGTAGGTGCACATGCACAGAAAGGGCATAATGACAGTAAGCACCGTCTTATATTTCTTGCACCTTCTATTTATATCTGCAGGTCAAGATTCTGCACATGTGAATTTAAATATCTAATTAAAGTTATGGAGGATCATCTTCAAATACCTACTGCAGGAAAAAAAAAAAAGATGACAGCCTTTTTAGGGTGTGTTAATATTGTGGTAGACAAGCCATTTTAGTCTGACTCTGCTACTTCATCACTTCAAAAAAAGAGCTCACAAAGTCTTTGGGTTAATAACTAAAAAGTGAGCAGGTAGTTGTACCATGAAGTCTTTTAGGAGAGACACTTTAATAATAAATAATAATAATAAAAAAAAAAGAAAATAATAAATACTGTCACAATGTTCTTTGTCATTCTATTTCTTGTACCTCTTGCAGAGAATTTTTTAGAACTGAATCAAAGTGTTTTCCTAGACCTTGTTTTTCTCACATTGTCTGTCAAATCTGCAGGAAGAGTACCTTTTGATAGCTGTAATAAAACCCATATAAGTCAATTATGCTCTTTATCATTAAAATGTTTGTAATGAAAACAAGGACAGTGCCTTCCCTAAGGTTTCTGGAACAATCTTGTTATAATGAGCACTCCTAGATATTCTCTACAAACCAGGGTAATTTATAGAATAGCATGGCATACACTCAGTAAATGACACTTTGATCCTTTTTCCCCTCTCTAAGACACACAGATATCTTCTTGTTCACATTTTCGTACCTAAAAAGGCCAATGCATTCAACATGTTGCAGGATAAGGGCTTCCCACATATGAATGAAACTATTGTAGGCTGAGGTGGGGTATTATGAGTTCATGTCCTTGCACTCAGCAGGACCCTCTGGCTTCCCTCAGTTTCAGCCAGCACCTTAGCACAATGCCATGTTCACACATGGGAGCAGAGTTATAATACAATAGCTGACCAGGCACTGATCTGAAATTCACTGCAAGTGGAAAGATAAAAAAGATCACCTAAACCTCTACAGCAGAGTTCAGAGCACATCTTAAGCTGCACTGACTCAACTACTTGCAAGAATGTGAGAGTGAATGCCTCTAAAGCCCCCTAACAAACACTACTTGCTTTTATCATGCAGCATTATCATGAAAATACACGCAGAAAAAGCATTCCCCAGAGGAAATTCAACCAAATTAAGCCATGTTGGAAATAAAAAGACACGGGATTTGTGACAGTAGATTAAACCTGATCTACTGTATGCAGAATCCTACTGTTATGCAGAGCAGATCCTATGGTAAAAAAGCAAAACTACACCACTGTATTATTTTTGACATGTAAATCTTTGCATATTTTAAAACAACTCTTTTTCTATGAAAATTTCTAGACTAAAAAGCCACAAATTAAAATACTCACACTTCTTGTATGCACTTTAGATAGGTAATATAAACACCAGGCATCTATCACCACCAGAAGAGACCTGAGCTGCTTCTCTTTCTACCAAGCCACTGATTATTTCATTACTCCACAGCAATTCCCACCACTCACAAAGATCTTTCCTAGTACTTCTCCTAGTCCCCAGTTACCTTCTATCTTTACTGTGCATGTACTCCTGGAACCAGGTTTTAAACTCTCCCAGCTGATGCTGTGCCCGTTTCACCACATGCATGGCTGCAGTCAAATCTCCACATCGCATGCAGTAGTAAATCAGTGCCCAGACAGGACGTCCTTCTACCTCACCATCCTGAAAATAGAGTAAGAAATAATTAACATTCTTCAAAAGCAGCATATTTTAATTATTTTTTTTTTACTATTTGCCTCACTCATTATTTCTGACCTTATATGGACACACTGATTTTGGTAAAAAATTCTGTTTCTCTTACAGAAGCCAGAGGTCATGAGGTTTAAGTCCCGTGAAAACTGTGCACATCCTACAACAAAGGATGGAACACTCTTCTGTTTACCCAGATTACAGTTTTGACAAGCCCAGAACTAGCATACGATCATACAATATCCTCTCCACCCAGGAAGCAGATTTGGATTAGACCACTGAGGTAGTAAAATCATTTGTACTGGAACAGAGAGATACCAAACCAATCCCAGATCTCAGCAAGCAATAAAAGGACAGCTAGACTCAACTATGCAGTCTCCAATGTTACAATTTTTTTTTTAACTTTACTTTTTCAACCCAGACTGCCTACCTGGTAATTTTGTAGGTGCACAGCTATGCACTTTCTACTATGTGCAGATGAATAAGATTTTATGCAGATTCCCAAATTAAAGGCTCAGGCTACAGTTAAGATTAATTCATTACATATTTAGTCATCAGTAACTGGTATCAGCATTTTACAATAAGCATAAAAAAAAAAAAGAAAAAGAGTTGAAACAAAACAGGGAGACTAAGTTACTGCTTTTCTGAATCATCATATTTTTTGAATCATCATATTTTTTGAATCATCATATTTTTTGAATCATCATATTTTAATACTTGCATGTTGATCTCTATAAAGACCACCAGAAGAGACCATAATTTCTAGAATTTAGAACTGAAACTACTGAGTACCACCCTGCTTCAGGAGTAGCTCTGAATTCAAAGTGATTGTCTCCTATCTTACATTTTCCTAATGAAAAAATGCAGGAGGAGGAATCAGAGAATCACAGAATAGTTTGGGTTGGAAAGGACCTTTAAAGCTCATCTAGTCCAACCCTCGTGCAGTAAACAGGGATATCTTCGACTAGATCAGGTTGCTCAGAAAAACAGCCTGCAGTTTAAACAACAGAAAAAACACTGGAGGGTGCACTAGTTTCCTGGCTGTGCTGGAGCAAACAGATTTGTGTTATTATTTTAGCTCACTGGATAAAAGTGATGGACATACCTGGAGACCAGGGACAGGCGCAGGGAGTTTGATGTTCAGGAAGCTGCAGACTAGTTGGAAGGTCCCTGGGACACCACCCAGCTGAGCCTGGTGCAAGTTTCCAAAGACTGTCACAAAAGTGTAGTTTTTGTAACTGAAAAACACAAGCAAAACAAACATGAGCAGACTGAAATACACTTGCTGCAAAAACACCCGCTGCCTTTCAGATCCAACAGAATTAGCAATTTAAAGCTAATTACCTTTATGTTCAAACAGTATCACTACAACAAAATGAGGCAAACATTTCTGACCATTTAGGAAGATCCTTGTGGTCAGCAGTCTCAAGAGACACCATGTTTGTAGCCAGTGGGGGACTGCTCCAGGTTCAACTCTGTATTATGAGGTTCTTCTCATTAAGTTCTCTTAGTACTACGTTAAACTCAATTAGCTAACTGGCAAAAAGCCTTCCCATCCTAACACTTTAACTATCAATCCTGTCATGAAAGAATATCACAAAACACCACAGATGTGTTTGTCTTTCCTCCCTGCCCCAAGGACAAATATAAACCTTAGGGCCATGGACTTACTAGGAGAAAATCAGAGAAAAGGGGACTTTAGAGAAAAGCAACTGGTAAAGGCAGTTTTGAGAACACCTTCTAAAATAAACCATCAAAGCCTTCAATGAAGGCAGATCAATTTAACAAATTTTCATGTTTAGGAGGAGGAGTTTTGAAAGTCTGTACATTGAAGAAATACATTGAAGGAGCAACAATAACTTACATTTAATTCCATTTTTTTTCTCTGCAAACACTGTACCACCAGACAATAAAACTGAAAGGCTATGCAAAATGTAGGCAAGTATCACTCAATCCTCATAACTAACATTATGGCAGAGTTAAGCACATGATCCTCAGGGCTTAAGACCACAGTACTCCAAAGCAGCTAATGCAAGAAAAGCATTACATCTCGTCCTTGTACCTGTGAGGGCCTAGTGAGCATTGAAACACCTCAGTGTTGGCCAAGTCCTGGTAGGAAAGAAAAGCTTCAAAGCAAGGCACAGGGTTAGTTTGTTTTTTTTTTAATTCTGTTTTTGTTTGTTTTGTTGTGTTTTTTGGTTGGTTGGTTGTTTTTTTGTTGTTGTTTCTTGTTGTTTTTTTTTTTTTTTGTTTGGGTTTTTTTTTCTGGTTGTGGTTTGTTTGGTTGTGGCTTGGTTTTAGTTTTCCTTTTTTCCAAAAAAATCAAGGCTGAAGGGCCCAATTTCCACAATTCAGAGGCAACAATATGCAACTAATTCCTAATTTTAGTTAGCAGACAACAGCACTCTGACAATCTAGCACATCAGATATCCGGCAAATCGGGTTAAGTCACTGGCTCATTGCATGCTGCTGAGATGGAAGAACTGGAAACAGAAGATGCTTCTGATGTGTCAATGGTCTGTGCAGAGGCAGGCACACTGCCACCATCCCAGGTGGCAAGGAGTGCTGATGAGGTGTGGCTACCTACTGTCAGAGGCCAAGAAGAGGCGATAACATTTCTTCGCAGTGTGCTGTATCAGAGTGCAGCACTTGCTGTGCTCAGATGGCAGATCTGTATCCGTAACAAATGCCTGCGTACTGCACTACAGCTATTGTTTGCTTCGCGCTGCTGAACCAGTCTGCTGGCATCGGCAGCTACACTGCTGCAGTATCCACATGTGCAGTGAATAGGTAATACAGACACCCAGGGATTCACAGAATCATAGAACAGCATCACAGGTAATGGTTTGGGTTGGAAGGGATCCTGCAATGAGCACGGACATCCTCAACTAGATCAGGTTGCTCAGAACTACATCCAGCCTAGCCTTGAATATCCCCAGGGATGGTGCATCCACCACCTCCCTAGGCAACCTGGGCCAGTATCTTACCACACTCATTGCAAAAAAAACTCTTCCTCACTTACAGCCTGAATCTCCCTCTTTCAGTTTAAAACTATCACCCCTCATCTTGTTGCAAAAGGCCCTGCTAAAAAGTCTTTCTAGCTTTGGGCTGCTCCATAGCCTGCAGTTCTCCAACTATGGTCTTGGTCAAGGAGCATAGGCCCCATGATACTTGCCAATACAGACAGTAAACCACTTCCCAGAGTCTGAAAATCATTGACAGATGTCCCAGCTTCAGCTTCTTCAAGTCCTAGCCAAACCTTTCAGTATAGAAAATGGCATGATCAGAACCTGACTCATTGCACCAGGTTTGTCCCCAGTGCTTTCCTCATTTCCTCCCAGTCCTAGCTGCTGGCAGTGCCCAGCAATTGGAAAGGGAGTATATGGAAAAGGGGAATGTTTTTGCTGAGGGGAAATAGATCTCTTTCCACAAGTGAAAAAATCTTCACTATGACCATGCAGCCATAGAATATTTAAGGGCAACATGGGAAAAAGAGTAAAAGGTCTTGTGTCTTCTAAACAACCTCCCCATGGATCAGTCTTCTTAACTAGAACAGTTTTTAACTAGAACAGTTTTTAGCTAGAACAGCTTTATATTCAAGTGCCTGCTTTAAGCCCTGCAGAACAGAAAAGACAGGCAACAGATGCTTCTGTGAGCAGCACATGGTAGCTGACCTGTTAATATGTTTGTGTTGCATTAAAGTCATTCTAGTTTATTATTAGGGAACTCTATTAAACTGTGCTACCCAGAGCATTCGCCTTACCTTTGTTCAAGGTACTGCAGAGCCTGCCTCACAAATTCCATTCGCACTTCCATACTGGTCCGGACTTTCAAGGCATCACTAGCAGGAACCAGGGTAACATCAGTCATTTGTTTCACCATGGCCCACATCTCAGAGATGTTCTGTGAACAAGCCATTCCATGCAACAGTGATGAGTACAGAGGTGAACAACAGCACTGTTCTGAGCTACATGGTATTCTGATGCTTATGAAAAGCATAAACCCACAAAAGTTATGTCAATTTAGATTTGCGATGGAGATACTGGATGCAGTCATGAAGGTAAGTCACTTCTGTCCTGCAGAATTCCAATTTCCCAGGCTTCTCTGCATAATTCTTGTGCAAGAAGATGGCTATAAATATTGCACCTGCAACTGTCACCCAGGATCAACACTGATTTCCAAACCTAGGCTGCATACTTGGTACTCAAACTCCTTGCCCATTTCCAGTTCAGACTTCCCGCTCAATAAATACCACAGCAGCATCAGCTTTTCATGTAAGCAATTGCTCTGGCTGCTGCTGGAAGGCTGTGTTATCAACTGCACAAAGAAATATCTGAAGGACACTTATCACTTGGACAAAGACTAGGTTTTGAAAAAAGGGTTGAAAGTCATCCAGGTCTCCTCATTTACAAGGACAAGAACCTATCAGTGTCTGCAGGACTATGGTATCCCTGCTGCAACAGCAGAATACTGAGAAATAAGAGCACTGTTGGCTTCAGCAAGGGCAGGTGCTTGATCTCAGTGCTTCAAAGCAGCAAGAACTCTCAAACTCAGTTGTCCCCAGCAAAATGAACGCAGCTGGTCAAAGCAAAGATGCACATGTGTAATTCAGATCTGATTGAAGCATTTGCACCTCTGCTTCTGAGCAATTTTTGCTCTCCCCATTTGCTAAGTCAAAGGTGGCCAGGTTTGTGCATTTAGGTGTTACTTTTTTGGGGGGCAGATCAAGGTAAAGCAATTAAAGAAAAGAATAAGCAAAGCAGGTAGATCATTGATATAAAGTCAGTCCTAGGGGCTTTAAGCTTTGCTAAGGGAGCCTACTTCAGCTCTAGCATGGTCTAATTGAAGACCCTTCACATACAACTAAATACATTCAATAGATATTAAGAGATGATGTTTTGAAAACCAAATGTAACAGAAATCATTTAAAATGAAAAGCAATTTCCCCTGCCCTCTCCTGCTGCCCCCAACAGTGCATTGCCCATGATGAGACACCTCAGTGAAAACAGGATCTTTACTTTTTCACTGCATTAAGAAATTTTCTCCGTGACCAATTACATCACAGGTGGGCCCTGCTGTACTAGAGACGATTCCGGTATTGGCTCTGTGTTTTCTGTGGAGCCATGCAATTCTTTTTGGCAATATCAGTATTTTTCCACCGATGTCAGCAGGCTGCTAATCACAGCTGAAACCAGATTGAACACATTTCCTTATGTTAACTCACTGGCAGTACCTTATCATCTAGTTCTGCAACAGCAGCGAAAAGGTCCACCAGGTTAGGCTGCAGATGTCCATTCACTATCTTCTCATTATAAATATAAATCTGAAACATATTGAAAATAAGCAAGCTTAACAGTACATATTGCTCCCCTTCTTCCTCCCCAGCTACAGCAGCAAAATCTGAACCAGGCTTCAAAAACGGTGTCCCTTCTGCTTCCCTCCCACATTAGCCCCCTCTAATTTAGCACAAGAGGAATGGGCACTGGCAGCAACCACCCTTCCACAACACACTGAAGCCAGCAGCAATCCAGCTGTTCAGGGGTTCTGCATGGCAAAGCACTGTGCTGAATGCCCAGTTGGACTAATTGTAGCTAGTTGTTGAAAGACAAAGAACAGACACAACCATTAGACGGCTGTGATATTCCCCTGCATGGCAGCCTCCTATTTGCTGATACAAAAGAAACTATTTTGCTGGTTTATGGCAGTATTCAGGGAAATCCAACAGACACAAGCAAATGGAACAGAAACATGGCCCTTCCAAACTTGTACATACACACACACTCCAAGGTTTGATTTAAATATTGCCTTAATTTAGCTGCTTCTACTATTATTTATTCACTCTCAGCCTGAAAACCTTCCAGCTACATCTGAAAATAATAATTCTCAAAACTAGAAAGGTAGCGACATTGTACTTTAAGTCCCTTTTGTACTTGCTACTTCTTCAAGATGCAGTGCAAATAGAACCTAGCATCAGTGAAATCACCATGTTTCTACGAAACAGCCTGAGCTATCCATGAAGAACAATTAATTATTTCAGCCTAATTAAAACATATTCATGACTGCTAATAAACTGAAATAGTATGGACTGCCTCATCTCCAGCACCCCTGGAACTAGTACTGCTTGAGAGGTTGGGCTTCCCATATTCACAAAATAATCAGGGAATAATGTCAAGAGCCTCAAAGTACAGACATAATTATGCTATAAGGAAGACCCTTAATGCAGGTATGTTACACGAGATATGAAACAAATTAATCACAGACTGATTTGGGTTGGAAGGGACCTCAAAGCTCATCCAGTTCCAACCCTGCCACAGGCAGGGACCTTCCACTAGAGCAGGTTGCTCCAAACCCCATCCAACTTGGCCTTGATCACTGCCAGGGATGGGGCAGCCACAGTTTCTCTGGGTAACCTGTGCCAGGGCCTCACCACCCTCACAGGAAGAACTTCTTCCTAAGTTCTCATCTCAATCTTCCCCCTGTCAGTTTAGAGCCATTCTGTCCTGTCCCTACAGGCCCTTGTCAGAAGCCCCTCTCCAGATTTCTTGTCATCCCCTTTAGGTATTACTGTACTATTTAGATCCACTAAATCAAACGTACACTGTATCAGCACATCACCAACCTCATTTTGTGACTCATTACTTCATAGTTCCCATAACTGAAGGCAGATAGAAAAAAGCAGCTGTACAAGCTGCTATCTGGCTCAGCAAAGACTAAGCCAATGCCCACAATAACAGTAATTTGTGCAGATTAGGCAAGGCTTTGTCTGTGTCATTTCAGATATTCCATTTTGAAAAGTCAAGTGCTTCTCTTTCATTTTGTTTCCAACAGTGCTGGTAAACAGATCATCTCATATAACAAAAGTAACAAATTGCTCATGTAAAGGTTCATCTCTTTTCCCTGAAAATTTTCAGAGGGAGCCTAATGCTACCAGACATTAACTCATAGCTGATGCACAAAAGCTGCTCATATGTTATGCCACTAAAATAGGATATAATTTGAGAAACATCAGGATTAATACTTCAGCATGTTTTTTCTTGCATGCACACATCAGAATAATGATCTTCCACAGGTCACCTCCAACCCACACCATTCTATGATTCTGTGTGAGCATAAAGGGAATATAAAGTCTTTATTGTGTACAATTACGTACTGACATGAATTGTAAAAAAGCCTTTTTTTTTTGCCTTTTTTTTTTTTTGAAAGGTGAAAAGAGTTTACTATACATGCATAAATGATTTCTACAGTCATAATGGTGTTCAGAATCTCCTTCTGACAAAAAATTCATGTAGCAGACAGGTCAGTACATTTCTAAGAAGTCAGGCTAAATTTTTGTATTTTCCAATTGCTTTTTAACTCCAGGCAGATATTTGCAGGCTTTAGCTACCATATTTTCTCACACACTATGCTCACAAAGCTGTCTTTTCCCCATCTCATTGTAGAAAGCAGTATTTAACTATGTTTCTTCTTTTATTTCTACTCACCTGACGAGCATACACCATCTCCACGCTGTCCAATGAGCTGCGACCTGGAGGACCCAACTCACCGGTGTAGCTGGGCTGTTTAATAGGAAATGTATAAGACAGTATAAAATTGCTGCAATGCATTTTACCAGTATATCTACTCCTAAAGAACAGCAGCAAAACCATATTCCTTGTGCGAATCCTTAGCTCTGTCCAGAGAGTAAAACGCATTGTCTCACTGCAATACCCCATTATCTTCCCAGTATAGCTTAAATTTTCTGAAGTCACAGAAACCCTCCTTATTTAGTGCACAAACCAACAAGCTGCTCTCTAGAATTAAGACACTGGTGTCTCTTGATAGTGTCTTGTAATTTTAATTCTTTCCATTTTTTCCTGAAAGGTTCCTTATTGTCGCATTAGTGTTCTTTTTGAATCTCCATCACAGCAAGCACACAGAATTCAGTGGACCAGCCTAAATGGACTCAGTCTAGTAAATCTGACACCCACTCCACTTTGTGCCAATACAATGGCACAGACACAAAATACGACTGCAGCATTCAGTTATGTGCTGAGAAGTCCTCCACTGCTGGTCTGCTGCGACGGAGGATGCTGGCAATATGCTGACTTGAAGAAAAAAAAAAAATCATTGCTCTACCCACAGAGACAATGCTAAGTTTGACGTATTTTCAGTGTAGATGCGGGAGGGACAGATGATGGAGTCATTGCATGGAACATTTGTACTCTTTTATAAAACTCATAACATGCCATATTAGTCTAATAAAGGTATTCTTGCAAGTGTTTACCACAAATCACAGGTATGTTTTCAGTACAGCCACAACTGAACATGGATGTTCAACACTGTGGAGGAAAGAATACTCCCAATTAAGTAAGCAATACTCTCTGATGTTTCCTGTTCCCTAAAAATTGAATTCTTTATTTCAGCATCAGCTTTGCAAGTCTTGGGTTTGAAAAGACAGACCCCTTTGAGGTAAGGAGCCCTTCAGTATCAGCTGCTTCATAAGCACTGCTACAGCTCTGATAGTCTGAAGATAAAAGACAAGCTCAACATAAAAGCATAATATTTACTATGAAGCCAACTGACATAGTCGGGGCAGAGGATACAGAAAAACTTTTGGAAAAGCAAGCATGTTTTCAGGTTTGTTACTGTGTAACTCAAACCATTGATATTCCTCTAAACTGAATCGGTAACTTTTTCCAAGAAAAAGCAGGTACATCTGCAGAGTTTTCAAATTAAGCTTTCTACCACCCAAGTCTGTTACAGCTGGCTGCACACCCTCATTAGCTGTTACACTGTACCTCAGCAACAGTGGCACATAGCTCTGCTTTTCCTTACATCAGCTACCCAGAATGTCAGTACTTTTACTGGGTAGACAGGATCACTTCTGAGTATTGCTTGAGGACATGCTCTAAGATTTCCTGGAAGAGCCCAGTTAAACGCGACCAGCTTGGTGCCTGGACAAACAATAGAAAGCCCAAATGAAACGAAAAAATCTTTGTTTTCACTTTCAGTTTAATCAGCTCTGAAGGTCAGCTTTGCTGACACCAATGTTCCTGCCACGGCTTGGTTTGTATGGATTCCAGGAAAAGAGCCGAGAAGTGGGAGCTTTTCTCCAGATGGTATCACCATTCCATTTCTTGTTTCAAATGAGGACGAAATATTGACAGGGTCCTTAAAATAATCTTTTCTGGGAACTGCATCCCAACTTTGAAATGAAATAATACAAACATATGAACCTCTAGATATGTTCCTGTCAGTCCATGCACTGAACAATCTCTCAGTCATTCCCAAATGCTTACTAACTTCATTTGATAACAGTTTAACCCAGGTTATCTTCTATTGCGTAGAACCACCCAGTGAGTGTGTTTGTCCCCAGCACAGTGAAATATAAACGAATGAAGATACCAAAGATGACCCTGGATGATCCTTTAAAATTGCTGAAATTAAGTTTATCACTGCATTAATTTCTCAGTAATAGTGCCATTTAAATTATATCCAACCTGATTATAAAAATCAGGCAGATGCATTTAGACCTGAGGCAGTATAAAATGCCTTACAAATAAACCCAAAAGAAATCCCATTTCATCTTCTGCAACTGAACTTACATTAAAAATATCCTTCACAGTCACTCTTAATTGACACTGATATTCAGAAGCATTTGCGTATTTCCTTCAGTGCTAAATCATCTGACAAATTCCTTTAAACCCACCTAAAACCCGAACAAACTCTTTGTTCTAAAGAACAAAGAAGCTGTTAAAGCAGGTTTCCTGGGAAACAGACACGATGGCATAAATAGTGCTTTGCAGTCTTGCCCTGTGCTATGCCAGATAAATTGCAGTTATTTAAAGTAACGTTAAATTATGGACGCTGTCATTAATTACTGATGAGGTTTCATCTTCTGCAGCAAGTTAAGAAGGGTACATTGTGACTTAGTGTCACTTTTCAACTAGTGCTCAAACACCAGAAACATAAGGACTGGGGCTCTGTTTTGTGAATCTGGTTCCCTTGTCTCCTGCTTTGTCGCAGCAAAGAGCATCAACGTGGCCGCTGCTCTGGAGTGTGGTGTATGACTGGTAAGGATCTGAATCCAAAAGTGCACACCTGAAATTAAGAAGTAACTGCTGTGGGATTTGGGTTTTCCTTTCTCCATTTTTTCCCTAGCCATTATGCTTTGAGGATCACTTATTAACAGGCTGCCACAGCTGAGAACTGCCACAATGAAATTCAATTCTCTAAATGCCCACTACCAATTTGGCACTTCAGCAAAGAAAAGAACTCAGGAACACCAGAATTTGTCTTGACTTTCTTTCCTATGGCAGGAGCCACGGAAGCAAGATTATGCCCTATTTTTTTTTCCATCTCATACTTGTATTCTGGCATCATCTTTGAATTATTCAACTTTAAAAAAGCACTAGTTCACTGAACTATCTCACAGCTGTGCTAAAAGGAAATTTCCAAAGGAAAACTAAAGCAGTGAGTCAGGTTGGGGAAGGCATTTCCACTCTTTATCCTGAACTGCAGAAATGGAATACTACACAGGCAATCATCCTGCAGCTGGTAACCAGCGTTTGAAGAGGCTTTCCCTGCAAGTTGAGAGAGGGATTTGGGAAAGGGAGAGGATATCCCTTGGTGGCAAGTCAGAACTTACCACGCTTTCAAGCAAGGAAAAGATTATGAAAGATGTGTTGAGAAGAGCAGCTAGGTGCATACAAGAAGAACTGTGTTTCAGGTCAGGTTCTGAACTGGAGCAGCAAAAGAAAAACACAAAGGACTGCAGAACTGCAAGTGTGCACACACACATGGATCTTTCTGCATCTCTACTCCAATACTGCTCAAACAGCTTGGGCTGTTTTTTTCAATCAAATTTGGTTCTCTCTGCCCTGAATTCAAGTCTTTCAAAAAGACTCTTCAGAACTGTAATATTTATTCTGAATATTATCCATTTATGAAAGCTGTAGCTATATTGCACTGCTGTCATGTTTTCATCTTTTAAATTCATTTAGCCTAACGATACTGCTTGTCAAAGGAGTACTCCTTCATTTGCACTCAGCCAAGTGTTCAGCATCACTTGCACACCAAACCCCGTGCTATAAAGATGCATTATTCATCATCCTCATATGCATATGCACATTCTTCAGCAGAAGTCTGGGCAGACATTTTGTCAGCACTCCAAATGGCTTGGCCAGTAGGTGCGGTGAATAAACTGAGCTTGAGAAACCCCATCAAAACACACCACGGTGCAGTGGGGGAGCGGAAAGCACCCTGCAGTCCTTGGGATTTAAGACAAGATACAAAGGGACAGAACAGGAGCTAAGAGCACCAGTGTCTCTCCATCACTGCAGGAGCGCAATGCTTGACAGCAGGAGTGGAAGAAAGAAAAACCTGGAATAAAAGGACAAAAGAAACACCTCGGCACCCAGTTGAACAAGACTCAGAACACATTCCCTGAGAGCACAGATTCTTGATACCCTGAAAACAAAACTCAGGCTTTCCTCCCATTTCCCCTAAGAAGCATCTTTTTATAAGCTTTGGTTTTCCCCCACAGGGAGAAGGCTGGACTGGAGGACAAGGAGGAGCAGAAAACCCTAATGGCAAGTCCTGTGCAAGGTTCTTTGAACCATGAGCTTTGCCTGTTAATTGGTCTTATTTCCATGAATAATGTGTTGGTATTTCACTCTGCCCAAATTAGCTTGCCCAAAGCTTGAGAACTGGCTCACAGGCAGACTGGCCCCCTGCTGCATTTGGATCTGTGCCTTTTCAGTTGATTCTCCATCTCCAGAGGATATCAATTAAATCTCTACTATATTCTACAGCCTGTGTCTGTTTGTGTCACACACACAAAAAACTTACTTGACTGGAACAGGCCTTCAGAAGAACAACCTGCTGTGGGGAGGCTAGATAACAGGTTTTTAACACAGTAGACGCACTTCAAACATCTCAGGCCTTGAGACCTTTGACTTCTTGAGGCTAAGATTAGAATATATCAAGGATTTTAAATGCTCTTGAAATCACATACTGATAGTAGAGTGCTTTGAAATGGAGAGTGAAGTATTACTGACTGATAGTGTATATTGAGTCTTTAAACTCATTCATGAAAAACATTACAGGTTTTTTTTCCAGCTCCTCTCTCCCTCCAATTTTGTGCTTGGCATTTTGAGTGCCAAGGACTGGGATAGTGTTCATTCGACACTGAAACATCAGAAAAGGGGATTTACCTTTTAAAGGTTATCAAATTGCTTCTCCGAGCAGTTAATATCCACATTTTGAAAGGAAAACCCCACACCAGTAACTCACACACACACACACCAAAGATGTCAGAAACTATCAGCTACCAAGTCTTCAGACTCACATCTTAAAATAATGGGATAGCTGTTCCTAGTTTTAACTTAATTCAGCCTGCATTATTTAGTATTTCTAATACTGGGAAGATGGAGAACCTTCTGAGAAGTCACAGAAAAGTATCAGTAAAGTACGTACTTTCTGAGGAAGCTTCTATAAAAAGATGTATGTTAACTGGGATTAACCTATATTTAAAAGAACAGTAATCAGAAAGGGACATTTCATTAACAACTTTAATTATTTCCAAATCCCTATACAGGTCATACCCCATTAACACAAAGGGCTTTTTTAACTTTCATGTACTTAGCAGCTCTGTAAGTCATTCCAATTAACAAGTGTGGGGAACATGGTTATAAAAAAATGGGCCTGTTTCCTGACCTGAAAGCACAGCAACTTGCATTCTCCTACCCTCTCTCACCTCTCAAGGTTAGCTTTCACAGAGGATTGTGCAGGGGGCTCCAATTTACATTAATGCTCCAGGAGTCTCAGCTGATGTCCAATGCCTCTAGCTCAGAGAGGTAGAATTCCCACAACTCTGTACATAACTGTGCTTTACTCATATAACTGGAGCATTTTCTTTAAGAGAATAAACTGTAAAGTTTCAAGTTGCAACAGATGATAAAGAATGCTTCAAATTGCTACTAAATACCTTTTCATGTTAAACACGGGCCCAGTCTTGCCCAAAATACTTGGTCACTGCTGGATTAACCTTGAATTGCTGAACACTAAAATTTTGTGCTGCTAAAATCTCTAATCTTCTCTGCATGAGAAAACAAGGTAAAAAGGAAAGCATTCCCTTTTTTTTCTTTTTTTTTGAATATTCATTTGTTTTTGCCAAACCCCTGAGACTTCAGCAGCCTCCTAAGGAAAGTCATAAATCCTGACTAGCACAGATTGATAAGGTAAAGAGATACTCTTTGTTGCACCTGAGAAAGTGTCTGGCCTCATTAGCACTGCGGAGGTTTCCTGAAGGTGAAATTCACCCCAGCATGTTTTCTGCCCCCTAGGTATAATGACCTAGTATGTGTTCTGTGACTGAGTTTCCAGCTTGCACAGATGTTGCCTAAAACACAGCTTCCATAGTAAGAGATCCACTGCCAGCACTCATCAGTCAATAAAAACAATCAGACAACGCATTCTGCTAGTCACAGTCATTCTGGAATTAAACAGAGATCTGATATTTCTCATTTTCATGTACTTGTAGCTACAGAATTATCCAGAGGTGGTTTCAGCAGTGCTGGAGTGCCAGCTGTGTACATGCTGTGCACGACAGTGTTCAGAAAGATGGAGTTACCTCATTTTCCTGGGTGAAATCAAGAGCATCTTCCCCTGATGCAAGCAGAGTATGAAGAATCCTTTGTTTCACCTGTTCCCATTCAACCAGCATTGATTCTCGGTGATACTCCTCAGCCATAGCAAAAGTCTGTTGGTGAACAAGAACAGCTAAGGAACATACAGAAACACCAAACAGCCCAGCTCTGCTATTAACAGACCATCTCAAAACTGAAACATAAAATAGCAATTAGATAAATTGACAGGTCAGCCCTCAAGCTAATGATGTGTTACATATTATTTTAAGAGGATTCCTTTTCAGGTAGGAGATTCAGAAAGTAGGGGTGTATGTGTGTAATTAAGACAACTCTCACATTTTTCCAGCTGGTAAAAGAGGTAGTCTGTGTCTCTTCCATGGTACTGCAGTACACACAAAACTTGGGAAGTTAACACACCTCTGTTAAGAATGCAGTTAAGAGATGTGTATTTATTGCCCATATTCCATTTTCAGGTTTTTACCAGTATGTTCTTCTTTTAAATATGAAACAGGATAAAATAAAAGTATTAACGAATTAACCAGTGCCAAAGAATCAGAAAGTCTCTTTCATCAGGAATGTAACTCAGGAAAGCATGCAGGAATATCATATCCCAAGAAAAAATATCCTTTCACTTTTAAAATGGCTGATGTACTATACTGTCTTCAGATCAAATTGGGGAACTCATGGAAGGAAACAGCTTTTCCCTCAATATTCCATATTCTTGCACTAGCATTAGGATAGAGACAATGCTTCACTACTTTTATTGTTATTAAGTAATCCGGGACAGGAAACAAGAGTATTTCCACTAATTCTAAATAGAGAGTAAGTTATATTGGATCTTTCACTTTTTTACCTTTCCGACCTCCTCTGTCTTTCACAGCTTTGTGCTGCTGCGTACATAACTAAACGTCTTGGCTGGATGAGTAAGTTTTTATCTCATTACACCCCACTGTTAGGATATTGTCAATTAAGGGGCTAAATGTTCCCCTGAATAATTGATAAGAGGCAGTAACATTGAATTATAGCGCCTGCATCCAACTAAGGCATGAGATTTGTGCTTCTTTTTATATAAATTCACTTTATACTTTCATGGTAGAATACAGGTCTTATCCTTACCTTCACTATAATCATTTCAACAGGGTTTTAAGTATGCTTCAATAATTACAGTATAATTACATGTAATTAAAATAATTTAATAATGCCTAAGTACTATTTCTTATGATTTGAAAGAAACACAGGCACTGCTCCAGACCTCATGGCCCAAAGTGTACATGGAGGGAAACAATTGTAACATAAGTGCTAGGAGGCATTCAATGACATTTCCAAGCAACAGCTTTAAGACAAACAACAGGAAGTGTATTTCCATACTGCATAATTTCTGTTTGTTATCATGTCCCAGAACATGACAGATACCAAAAGCATAAATGGATTCAGAAACAGGATCAGACAGATTGAACATCAGAAAACAACTTATAGCTCAAAAAATCTTTGAAACAACTACTTGCTCAGAGGTAAAGGCAGATGAGATTAACAAGGAAAGGCTGTCTTTTTTACTTACAGACTAAGTACTGGTCCCTTTCACGAGAAGAAAGCTGGACTCTGTAAACCCTGAGCCTAAGTGACAACTCTGTTACTTTCTTATTGTAGCTTTTTCCTTTGTACTGCTTCAAAAAGCATTTTTTCATTCTTATATGAGAGTCTTCCTCTGGACAATGTGACACAGTATGGTATTCTGGCTCTCCCTTAGACACAAGAATTAAACCATGCAGCACTTCTGCTGCAAAGGCCTGAACACAGTATGTACTTCAACAACTCCTGTAACCTGGAGAAACAGCTACAATAAACACGCCGAGTGTCACTGCTGTATGGGAAGTCAGTGGCACAGGGCACTTCTCAGAGCAAAACAGGAAATAAAGCCCATGTTCTAAGCATTCTCATCTCTAGAAAAGGCAGCAACCATGAGGAGAGGGTTGGAGTGAGTGTGCTGTGCCTTACGAACAACAGCTTCTCTGTTCAGACTCCTGTCTGTACTAAACACTGCAGTGGAAATACAACTGACAAGTATTTTCTTTTTTTTCTTTTTTTCGTAGTCTTAGAACGTCTTAAATTCCACTAGTTTGTTAAATATCTAATATATTAATTCCTTTACACCCTTTTTTTTTTTTTCCAAAGGAAAATGCACTCTTGCCTACAACTTACCCTCTTCCTCGACTCCTCAATGGCTGACAGCAATGCATTATCTTTTTCATTCTTCAGGAATCCCTGCAGGAAAGAAGAAAGAGCGCTTCAGTCAAACAAAATCAGCCTTGAACTAGCATCAGGTACATTCTGTAGCACTCAGCTCTGCCAATCCTGAGCACTGCTCAGAGCTCTCTCCAGTCCACTCCTGAGAAGTTTAAAGGTCACTTTACTTCACCAGGGGTACAGTAAGATGCCCATACAGAGCAATGTGAAAATGAAAATGCATTAATCCTCTGGTTTAATATGCATTAAATCCCAGTGAAATGTCCTGTTTCTATTCTCTTTTATCTCTGTGTCCCAGCAATTGCTTCCTCTTGCTACCCATTTGAGGGAGGCAAGGATGAAAGCTGGTAGGAGCGATAAGCCAAGATAAGATTGTTGGAGTTGAGTATGTTAACAAAAAAATAAAATGGGTTTTCACTTGTCAGCTTCAGGCAGAAGTGGAGCTCTTGGGAGGCCTGATAGGAACTGTGAAAAAGAGCCTTAAAAATAGTCCGTTGGGGAAGGATGGAAATAACGAAACAGTTGGAAAGCATACAGGAAATGTTTACTGCACAGCCTCTCTCCACGGATACAGCTGGAGCGGGTAAAAAATATTACATAAGAATTATAGTTTAAATTTTCAGTGTATTAGTAAATCTCAAACAGGTGTGGTGTACCTGAACAGATGGATTCAGACAATCTGTTAGTTCCTTATTCCAAAGGTTACTTTCATGACCCATACTAGGACACATGCCATACTTTGAATTTTAAACAAATGCACGCACATAGACAACAGAAAGGAAATGTTTATTACACCTTAACTAAAATACCTTCCTTTTGCATTTCACTGTTATATCACCGATTATACCACCAACCACCAAGTTGATTTGTACTCTCAGACTTCAACTTAATCATTATTCAGATCATAAAAAAGGAAAAAAAGCCTTCGTCTCCTCTGAAGTCATCAACCAGAACATTATTGACTCCATTAAGTGCTAATATCTTAAAAGTCTGTGTGCCCAACTCCACAGCTTCAAACTTCAGAGCCTCCAAGAAACCCAGGCAGTGGGAATTCAGTGTACCATGCTTCATGCTTTTATGAGGATCCACAACTGCAGCAGCATCCAACAGAACTTACTGGGAATTAGGAGACATTCATGCCCTTCATTCCCCACATCTTCCTGCAAACAAATGCTTCCTGCCCCAGCAATCTGATGATACAGGTCTTGATCCATGCAAGCTAGGTAAGCTCAGGTTCTCCAGAGGAGCACGGATCCTGTGGCAGGATAGACACCTGATTTCATAGGCATTTGGACCTTGGGGAAAACATTGACTGTAGGTGTTCAAAACAGTCCTGCAGTGGTACTTGGCGCAATCACAGGTACCACAGATTGCTACTTAGCTCCACGAGATGAGGAGAGTTTGAAATCTCCCCAGATGGAAGAAATCCAGCAGGAAACCACCATATAGGTGTGCTGTCTGCCTTTCTGCTCCACAGCACCAGCATGCACGCAAAATAAAGGGTGCTGCACCCTTTCCTTCTGACATGTGTAGAACAAGCATTTGGGGTACTGAAGAGTCTGTGACTCCACCCTGGGCTGGAAACAGGGACATGACCCCTTTCTGTATGCCAGACAGAGAACCAACTGCTGTCCTCTGAGACAGAAACAGCCCTTGAATTATATACAGGAGAGAGCAGCCACTTCTACACAGCCTATTCCTCATCTCATCGTCCGCAATGTCCTGCTTTATTTTTATATGTGCCCACAAAGAAAGTGCAGTTACAGTCTGAAAAAAGCAAGTGAAATCCAGGTCCTTGTGCATGCCTGGGGACCAACTATTACAGCAGCTGTCATGAAGGAAAGGGCTGCTGCAGTCACCTGATCTTGGCTCCATCCTGGATGGAGACATGGCTTTGTAAGGTCTGTTCATGTCTGCATGGCTGGAAGGACTTTGGAGGGCAACAAGTTTGTTATTTCCCTGCTTCCAACCTAAACTGGAGAAAAATTGTCTGTAATTATAACAATTCTAGACCTTTAAAGCACAAACCAACATCTGAGCAGAAGACACAGCCCCACTTCTGACAGTAGGGATGTGATGTTGCAGAGAACACTGCGTTTGCCATATCATAACAATGCTGTTAATTTTACAGGCAAGAAAAGCCCATTGTCTCCAAGACTAAGACCTACAGCTTTCTATAAAGGTGCTAAGCACACTGTGAGCACTGGGCTCCTGAGCCCCCCGGCAGATACAGGTCCTACCTTACTGTCTGCAGTCCTCCCCTCTCTCCTTGGAGGCACTTGTGCCCTGTGCTGAGCATGTACCTGCCTAGAAAGGTACACAGCTGTCCTGGGTTCAGCAGTAGCAGTCATGTTTTTTCCTTTGTGTTAACTGGTGCAGTGCTGTGTTTTGACTTCTAGTTTGAGAACAGTGTTGGTGAAGCCGATGTTGTCGGTTGTTGCTAAGTGATGTTTACCCTGACCAAGGACTCTGTGAGGCTCATGCTCTGCCAGGGAGGAGGGGAAGCTGTGAGGAAGCAGAGACGGGGCGCCTGACCCGGGCTAGCCGGGGAGGTATTCCATACCACAGCACGTCATGCCCGGGGTGGGGGGTAACTGGGAGTTACCCGGAAGGACAGGGCTTCCGGGTGGAACTCGTTTTCTTGGCCGGTGGTATCGTATTCTCTTCCCTTGTTATTTTCCCTTATCATTGTCTTAGCTGATAGTAGCGGTGGTGATTTGTTGCTGGACTGTTCTTGTCTCAACCCGTAGGAGTTGCACTCTCTCGATCCTCCTCCCCGTTCCTCCGGGAGCGGGGAAGGGGAGAGCCCCGGTGCAGGGGCGGGGGAGACGGACACGGACCTTGATTGTTGTCAGCTCGGCACCACTCACTGGGAATGAGTGAACAAGTTACCTGACTGGGTTTAAACCACGACAGTTCTTTTTGGCGCCCAACGTGGGGCACGAGGGGTTGAGATAAGAACAGATCTGACTGGATTGATAGTCACTCGTCACAATGCTGATTTATTGGCTCTCAAGGTTTTTCCTCTTGATCTCACAGTTTCAGTATACCATATCTTACGTCCATCCGGTATTGGCTGTATTAGTGTTTTTCAAGTGTGGGGCTTGGGCTAAGGTTTTTATCCCATTGTACTTTATGGTAATGACTTGTAATACAATAGAATCATTGATCATGAAACTGATCTGGTTTATGTTCCCAGTGTGGTCACCACCTTTATACTTTGGGAGGTATATGATGGAGGTGCTTAGCAATTACACATCTTTTTTCTCCTTCTCAGGTGCTCAACCTGTGAAGGAGACATCCTTTTACCCTCCTAGTCGTCCCCCCAGACCATTTACATTTGAGAGTTTTGAATTTTTTGAATGGCCTTTTAATGCTGTTGAGACTTGTTTGCTGATGGTGATGGGAATCACCATGCTAACACGCATACAGAGTGTGTTTTGCCCACTACTGATTTCAAGAGTTAAGCAGATTCAGGTTTGGGTCTTGTCTGGGGTCAAAAGACGATGTAGGAGGACCGAGAGATTTTCCCAGAGGCTGGACAGCCATGAGTGGCAGGGTGTGTGGGATAGTATGGGCAAGTATCTAGGTCAGTGGGCCCCTCCAGTATTTTGGAATTTCACTACCGAACAACTGCAAAATCCAGAAGAATTAGTAAAACACTTAAATGAGGTGTGTGGTCATTCTGGCCATACCGGAGATGGACAAATCATGGCAACGTGCTGGGGCTTGGCCTATGCTTACAGGGCCTTGTTCAACACTATCCAGCACCTTCAAAAGGAAAAGAATATCGGCGGATTTGAGGGCAAAGCGACAGTCGCTACTCAAACTTTGGCTGCAATGAACTGCGCAGCTACCCCAGTGGCAAGTACAGCAGCTGCTCAAACTTCAACTGCAACAGACAGCGCGGTTACCCCAGCTCCAAGCACGGTAGCTACACCACCCCCAGCAACAAGTACAGTCGCTACTCAAACCACAGTGATAATCACTGCAGCCAAACCAGAGGACCAATTCGTACCAATATCAGTTGCCCCTGTACGCAAGAGAACAAGCAAAAAGGAGGCAAAAAGGGTGAAGCGAGATGAAGAACCAATGAATTCACCACCCGGTCCAGAATCTGATCAGGAGTCATCATCACATGACAAAGAAGAAGAAGAAGAGGTAACTTCTCGACCTCGGACCTCAACCGAGCTGCGGAATATGCGAAAAGATTTTACCCGTCAACCAGGGGAGCACATCATCACCTGGTTACTCCGATGCTGGGACAATGGGGCCGATGGTCACGAACTAGAAGGTACAGAAGCCAAGCAGCTGGGATCACTTGCTAGAGAAGGGGGAATTGACAAAGCAATTGCAAGAGAGAAAAAGTCCCTCACCCTTTGGAGGAGGCTCTTGGCAGCTGTGAAAGAAAGGTTTCCGTACAAGGACGATGTTACGAGTCGTTCAGCCAAGTGGACTACTATAGACAAAGGCATCCAGTCTCTGAGGGAATCGGCCATCGTAGAGATGATCTATCACATCAAGCCGAATAACGGGGATACACCTATAGATCCAGATGAAGTTGAATGTACACGACCCATGTGGCGAAAACTTACACGGAATGCACCGTCATCATATGCCCATTCATTGGCAACAGTGACCTGGAATGACATAGTACCACTAACAGTGGATGAAATGGTTCATAAACTCTGAGAGTTCGAAGACAATCTCACTCCTTCCATCATTTCAGCTGTGAAAAAACTGTCCCAGGACCTCGACAAATTGAGGGACGATGTATCTGATTTATCCAGCTCCTCACGTGTACCAACACACGTCTCAGCTATTAACAAAAGACGTCCTATTGTTCAAGAGAGGAGATACAGAAGGTATACGCCACGGGGTACCCTATGGTTTTACCTGCTGGATCACGGAGAAGACATGACAAAGTGGGATGGAAAACCTACTTCAGCTTTGGAGGAACGGGTGAGTGAACTGAAGAGGGGAGCAAGGGCCAAGACTGATCGTCCCATGAGAGCTAC